AGCCTCTGTCGCTGCGAAAATCGTATCGTAAAATGAATTGTGCTGCGGGAAAATTAAATTGCTTTTCACTTCAGCGACGGGATTGGCGCAGCGACATTTTGTTCATTATTTTTCCGACAGTCTAATATTATAAAATAATAGTATTTTCATAAAGTGCATGAATATTTTTTCTCACCTTTACAAAGTGAATTTTGAACTTCTTTACTGTGATTTTCTTCGCTACAACTAGACTTGCCTGTCAATAAATACCAATTGCAAAGGTATTTATTGAATTTTCAAGTTTCAATTTTAGGCCAAAATAAACCTCTGTACAACGAAACCTTTCTATGACAAATAAATTTTTTAGTCCTCTGCGATTTGCTTTACAGAAAATTTAATTTGTTTATCAGTCTGTCGGGAAAATAATGAGCACAATGACGCTTCGCCGATCGCGTCGCTGAAGTGAAAAGCAATTTGATTTTTTCACAATTTGTTTTCTCGGTGGCCATGCGATTTTTGTTGCGACAGAGTGCTCACTATTTTCCCGACAGACTGATATACACCCAAGTAGTGATTGTGGTCTAAAATTTACTCTTGTAACCTCGAAAATTGTTTGTTATAGAGAGGTTTTGCAGAATAGAGATTCATTGTCTCAGAGATCTGACTTTGAGGTACTAGTATACAGCCTGTCGGGGAAATAATGTGTATTTTGCGCTCGCAGTTATGCACCAAATCTCCAGCTGCAGCAAACTGATGACGGGCGATTCCTCGGCCCGAAAAACCCTCATTATTTTCCCGACAGACTGATCGTCTCTCCCCTTTTTTCCATCACACATAAAAGAGCAGGAAACCGGGAGAATAAAGCAAGTTGATTATACTGGAGTCGTTAGAGACGCCATTCCCCCCAACGTCTAATTGCCCTCATCTGGAATGAATTTGGAGCCGCGTCTACGGTGTTTGTTGAATATTCATGGGGAAGTCAGTTAATTCTGTCAAAAGACATGTTATTTGTAGTCATATTGGATTTTGCTATACCATAGGATCGTATTTGAAATTCGATTTTTGAGATTTTTTGGGAAGTTTGACCAAAAAATTGATGACAACGGGTAAAAATCAAGAATTTTAGGGGTTTTTAGAGGGAATCTAACTAAAATTGTTGTTGTATATCACTCTGAATTTCATATTTTACAATTGTTTCACACCAATTTTTTGTTAGGAAAATTTGAAATCAAGATTTTTCAAAAATTCTCAAAATTTCGGCGTTTTTTCTCAAAAAATCCCGTTTTCTAGTTTAAAAATTCAAAATATATGATATGTTTGATGCGCAAAGTGACACCATTGACGTCTTGTTTCCTACACAAGAAATTTCGCACCCCTTTGGTCTAAAAAATATCAGGTTTAGGTCCAATTCTTTCGAATATCCCATGAAAATTCGGGTCGACTCGGAATTCTTGATTGGAACGGATACGATGACAACTGCCATTGTCAAATAACACCTGTTTGTTGTTGAATGAACTGAGCCGCTCATTCTTGAGCCCTGTCTTTATATTTTTGGGGGGATTTTTGACATTTGACCCGGCTTTTGAGCTGGCGTTGGGGGTTTTTTAGGGCATGTACAAGTTTTGCTCATTTTTTGGCTGGTATATCAAAATTACAATAGAAAAAGGGAGATGGGAAGATGAGTCAGGTAAAATTTTTGGTTTGACAATGAATTTTGAGAGCTTTAAAGGGCAAAAATATTATAATTTTTGATTCTTTTTTATATAAAAATACTCTTAAAAGCCCCTTTTTCTGATGACTTTTTCGATGGCAAATGTTTTTTCAACCCATGACAGAGAAGATATTGAAGATATTCAAAGAGAAAGAAGCTTTCTGAACACTATAAATTGTCAGACCATGAAGTTATGTGTGGCTTGATCTTTGCCTAAAAATAGGCCACTTTTTTACCAGAGAAGTGCTCCAAGTGCGATGTTCAGATTTTCTTTAAATTTTGCGCACTCTTCAGGCATAGACCACATATTAATTCCTGAAAATTTTAGCTCGAAATTTGCATGGGTTGTCAAGATATTTAACGGTTTTTGAGGCCGAGAGAGTACGCAAAACGCGAAGAGCGGCCACAGAGAAAACTATTTTTTGGCTATATCTTTGCCAGTTTCGGGTAGAAAAAATTGATTTTTTGTTGAGAAATTACTCACTACGGTAGAAGCAGGTATGAGACTTTTCATGGCAAAAGTTCGCAAAAAAAGTTTCATTTATTTTCCACTTTTGAGCAAAAAATCATGGTCGCTTCTGCAAAGCGCAAGCTCTGAGTCTCACATATGCATCAGAAAGAAATATTCTAAATTTGTGCCAAGTTTCATCAAGATCTGGGCGTCGGACACTTCCTTTTTTGAGAAAGCCTTATTATTATCCTTAGAATAAGCCTTATAAAGTTTTTCTCTTCACAAAATATTATATGCGAATCTCCATCAAAAACTGAGCCATATGGCACTTTGTTTGCAAAGCAAAAAATCCCCCAGTATGAATTTTTTTCGCCTTCCTCGATCTCCAATTCCCTTGCAATTAAATCAAAATTCGGCCATCAATCAAGTCACACATCTCTTTTCCCCTGTTTTTTGAGCCACCAAAAATCCTCGAGACTCATCTTCTTTCGCCGGGAAACCTTCATCTGGTTGAACTCATTTGGAGGGAACGCCAATAAATTCGGCTGGGATAAAGATAGCTGTTATTTCCGCGCCGCAATTACATTAGTGTTTATTTTTGAGGACTATTCAATTTGAACATGAAACGATGGGCCGAAAAGAGGGGTTTACGTGCTATTTGAGGAAAAAATAGGAACGGCTGTTAGGGTGGTGGGGAAAATGATTTAAACTTTTGTGTAACAAATTGTAAATGGAAAAAATGTATTATTAGGTTGATGCAAAAGGAATTGCGGATTTTTTAATTTATTCGTATTTTTTTATAGGATAGCTCAATTCAAAAATGGAAAAAGGTATATAGTAGTAAATTTTAAGAGGATTTTTTCTGTATATGTGCTATTCTTATAAAAGTTATCAAACGTTACCATAAGTTACCACGAAAGTACCCTAAACATGTTAGTATATTTTAAACCAATTTTTTTACATATTGTTTTGCGGCTTTATCCATTTTTGAAAATATTTTGATAAAATACGTTATATTCTATCAAAAAACAAAAAAAACCCCCATTTTTGGCAAAGCGTTAAAACGCTATCCCAAAAATTCAAATTTCAGCAAATTTTACAAATCGTGTCATATCTTTTTTTTAATAAGTCCAAAATAAAAAATTCTGGGGCTTCGGTAGTTCAGCCCCCCACGAAAGGTAGTTCAAACCCCCACTGTTTTGCCCGTTTCACACCCCACATAATGAACAAATTAGAATAATACAAAAAATGTAAGTGGGGGTTTGATCTACTACGTTGGGGGTTTGATCTAAAACGTACTACCTTAGCCCCAAAATTCTTTTTGCTTTCGATTAGTAACAACATTTTTAAGATTTTTGTCACAAAAAACATCAAAATCAAAAAAATTTATTTTTTTGACATTTTTTGACCAAAAAATAAAATTCAAGATTTTGATGTCTTTTTTTCACGAAAGCCTTAAAAATGTTGTTACTAATCGAAAGCAAAAAGAATTTTTTATTTTGGACTTATTAAAAAAAAAGATATGACACGATTTGTAAAATTTGCTGAAATTTGAATTTTTGGGATAGCGTTTTAACGCTTTGTTTTTAGAAGCCTTTGTAATAGGTTAATTTCGACTAGCAGAAATTAATTTATAATAAGAATAGTGTTTGAAGTGCGTCGCACGACAAACTGAGGAGCCCGGTGACCGGAATAGACTCTTCACTATCGGGTTCTTACACTTCCTCTCGATTTCACAGAGAAAGAGAGAAAAAAGACACGCAAAAACGTACTCTCTCGTCCCAAAAACTCCCCATTTCTTCCCCGACAAAACGTTTTTCACGTCTTTTTTGGCAAATTGCCAATCCATTCACCGGACTGTTTTAGCTTATCTTAGTTTGACGTGAGACGCCCACTTTTTTTTCATTTTGTGCTGGGCATGAGTCACATAGCGATTTCTGAAGATTTAGTTCGAGACTAGCAGTTGCAGCAGAGATAATCAACAATCTTTGCGGCCGAGAGAGTACGCGAAACGTGGAGAGCGGCCAGAGAAAAAAGATATGACCATTTTTGGCCATTTCTTTGCCAGTTTCGCGTGAAAAAGTTATAATATTTTTTGTTGTAAAAGCACTGCTCTCTGTTGTAGGAGTAGGTATCATAGAATAACTTTATGACAAAGAAAGTACGCGAAACGCGGAGAGCGGTCACAGAGAAGAGATATGACCATTTTTGGCCATATCTTTGCCAGTTTCGCAAGGAAAAAAATCTTTTTTTTTTTGTAAAAACACTACTCTCTGCTCTGTAAAGCGGAAATAAGTATCACAGAGGAATTTTTTCATTGATTTTGAGATTTTGAGAGCCAATTTTGGGCTGAAATTAACTTCCATATATTCCAATGCTTCTACAGAAAACACATTTTTTGGCCCGTTTCATTCATTGAGCAGCAATTTCACCGTATTTCCAATTTTTTTTCGTATTTGAACTATTTTTCTTTAATTTTTTTCCAGAAAAAACTTTAGATGAACTCAAAAAAATAACTATCAAAAAGCCCTCCGAAGCTCTTTATTATTTTTATTGAAAATTTAGAGCTCAAACAAACGGGTTTGTCCTAAGTTTTAAGTCGCTGACAATTTGAGTAAACATTAGGCACTTCTCGTACACATTAGCCCTATTGTCAAAAATTTTTTACTAAAATTTTTGCATCTGGAGCAAAAGTTGAAAAAATTGCGTTTTTCTACATAAAATTAGATATTTACCATACTAAGAAAGCTATTTCTATACCAAATACCACCTTAACAGCTGCCTACAAGCTTTTTTACTGATCTTCTTGATATTCCTACCGATTTCCTTTGCAAATATCTATTGATTTTGGCGTTAACCATGGACTTGAAGGTTAATATTGCCGCACGGGTCGAGCCGATGAGTTCGGTGCGGGAAAAGGCCGTTCGTGCCTGGGTTATGACCACACCCGATCAGCTGAGTGGCGGCTCCGGACGCAGTCGAAAAAGTTGTTACAATGTAGATGAGGAGGAAGAGGAGGATAAAGGTGTTGTAATGTGAGTTTAAAACAGATCGTATAAGAGCTGACGGGAATTGTAAATTGCCTATAGATCATGCATAAAGGCTTCTACGGTCGTTTCAACGTTTTTTAGGCATATGTGTCTCTATAGACTAGTGGATAGTGTGGTTGACTGGACATTGAAATGTCGCGGGTTTGAGTCCGGCTGGGCAAAAAAGGCAATCTCAACTTTTTGGCGGGAAAATAATGAGCACGCGTCGCTGAAATGAAAGACAATTTTGTTTTGCCTCGACAAAAATTCATATTCTCGGCGGTAAGACGATTTTGGATGAGACAGAGTGCTCATTATTTTCTCGACAAAAAGACCCAAAAATTTTAAGCGTATTTTACAAATCAGATTTGGTAACTTTTGGTATATCATATTCCATATTCGGCGAGGGGGTTTTAGCTACTATACAGGGTGGTTCAGCTAAGTTCGCGGATGTAAAATGCTTATAACTTTATAGGACTGTTCAATTTTTATGAGCAATAGCTCATTTTATTCCTTAGTAGTTACCATTTTGTTTAAAAAAAGGATCATTAAAAATGATCAATCCTACGTCGAGTTATGACCCTTCAAAGTAAAACATGCTTTTTCACGCTTCAATCTGAAAATTTCCGAAAAATCTCGAAAATCGCTTATAACTTTCGACCGGTCGATAATTGTAAATTGTAAGTTGGCTTCAGAAGTCATAGAATTTTGCGTAGAATACGATGGAATAAAAAATGTAGAGAGCAACAAGGCTGCAGATATATTCCTACACCTCTCTCCACAGCTTACACAGTTTTTTTCTCCTCTTGTGGGGCCCCAAAGGTCTCCACAACTTTATATTCAAAAAATACCCCAAAGGTCTCCACAACTCCCACAGAAATTAGCATAAACCAACTCATATAAAAGGAACGTCTCGTCACCAATTATTAGAACATAATCTCATTTCTCTTCTCGGTGTGGTCTTCTCAATAAACTTTGTTCCTAAACCTGTGTCTATCCTCGATACCTATCTACGTTTGCCGCACCACCACACACCAAATTCCACGTATATCTAGTACAAACCCATCTTTGATCCCATTGCTCTCCACCTTCCGACTTGACCTCATCATAACCTTCTCAAACCTCTCTTCCACATCATCTTCAATCGGCATTCAAACGCACACATGTGTACTCTAAAGTGAACACTCTTACGCAAACGTCTCAAAGCCGCCCTCAGGGCAGGACGTTGTATTCGAATGTTTCCGGTGTTTTGACTTGGGGTTTATTTTTCTCCAAATTCCTGGAGCCCAAAACATCTGGCCCGCAAAACGTTCCGCTTCTTATCGGTCCTTCATTATCAGCATCTGCGGAGAATGTACGGGCTGAGCATGTCGGTGGATGTGGACGAGGAGCGCCGCGGGCCGTGGCAGAAGACTGTCAAGGCGCGCAAACAATCGAGGTCGGTGGTTTGCCGTCTTAAAATTGGGTCCTAAAATTAACTCCCAAGCCTTAATTAAGAGTTTATTAATGTTGGGGAGAGAGTGGAGGAGAATTTAGTCTCTTTTCTGCAAGCTTAGCGGGTTGGCTTGATAAATAGTCCGTTCGTTAAGTCTATGGAGTACTTTTTTGGCGTTTGCACTGTGCGAAAAAAATCAAGCCACCGTCCGAAAAAGTCTATTGCACGGTGCAAAAAGCAAAAAATTGCACATGCAAAATAAACTTTTTTCTCACAGGGCACGTTGCCGAAATCATGCCCTGTGAGCCGACTCGAATTTATCTTTTCCAGAATAAAGCTTATTAGAAAGTGCGTAAACTTTTTTTGGTATTTTTGCCGTACCACACATTGCAAGTTGCATGTTTTTCGTAGAGAGAGCTAGATGTATGGCATAGTAAAGTATGAGAGCCTCTAAAGTCAGTAGTCTTATTAATTCCGATTTTTAACCAGCTAGTCTTGAGCAATAGCTCAAAGAAACATCTCTACACAATTTTTTGACATGCGTCTTACCAAGGATCCTTCCCGCCTAGGATAACATAAAAATTTCCGTGGTTTTTACATTTTAATTTTGGCAGCAATCTTCCGGGCGGTTTTTGCGAGATTCGGCCTCAAAGTTTCAATACTTACTAGAGTACTCATAAAAAAGTAGTTACAAATTTTTCGCAATGTGCAATTGGATGACGGATTTACAATCGTTTTTAACACCACTGGCACATTGAAAACGCGTGTCATCTCTTTTCTGGACACACAGAGATTTATCTGTCTGTCGGAAAAATATTGGCGGGTTGCCGTGCCTTGAAATCGCCAATCAGCGCTTCGCCACGGCAAGCCGAAGCTGGAGATTTGAAGTGCGACTGCGCCGTTTTTTTGACGAGGCAAAGCATTCCTCACTATTTTCCCGACAGACCGACAAAATTTCATCCACTTCTAGGTTGCTTTAGAGAGCTCCTTCTTTCATAATCCAACCCCATCTTTATTAATTTCCCGTCCAACTCGCCCCCAGACCCATCCTGATCTCCATGGAATTTGCTGGTTGTCCCAAAAATTTCCTCATTTCCCTGGATTGCCCTTTTCCGAAATCTCATTTGCGGAAGGGGTGGGGTTTCTTCGGCGACTGTTTTTTGCAAAACGGAGCCAATTTTGTGTTTACATCGTATCTAAAATTTCAAACATCCTATCTTCTCTGATATCATCATTCATTTTCTTCTATGTTTGGCTGGCAAAATTCGGGGCGAGATGGTGACGATGACGAGCGCTCGGCTCGCTCCATTGTCATCTATCTCAACGAGAAGACGAAAAGTAAAACGTCGTTGTGTTCGTGTTTTAAGAAGGACAAGGTTAACACGGTCACAAGGTAATCGTTGTTGTGGCATTTTTATCAGGTCGTCGGGAAAATAATGAGCACTCAAGCCGATCGTATCGCTGAAATGAAAAGCAATTTGATTTCCCCGTGACACAATTCATTTCCTCGGCGGCGATGCGATTTTCGTTGCGACAGAGTGCTCATTATTTTCCCGACAGACTGATATATGCAGCCACGTAGTGGTTTTAATTCAAAGTTGAGTCTTGGGACCTTGAAAATTGTTTTGTTGCAGACAGGTTTTGTTTTCTCAGAATTTCTTTGTCTCAGAGATTTGACTTTGAGGTGCTAGTACACAGTCTGTCTGGAAAATAATGTGGATTTGGCGCAGCAAAAAGTCTCGTCTCGTAGCGGTTGTGCGCAAAATCTCCAGCCTCGGCAAGCTGATGATGGGCGATTCCTAGGAGCTAGACAAAACTACATTATTTTCCCGACAGACTGGTAATGCCTATTTAAAGCACAATTTCTCTGTTTTTTCGAAAAGAAATAGTCTTTTTCCCGAGCCTACAGCACGTGGCTAACAAACAAATTGACTAATTTTATATATATATATCTATGTACGCTTCGTATAGCCTTTGTCCTTGTTGAAAGGCCCATTTTGTAGTCCATTGTTCTAAAATTTCTCTTCTTTCCTAACTACGCCTCCTCAAGGCCAAAGAACAAAATTAGAGAAAGCGAAAGCTCTAATAGCGATTTGTTAGCATGTCGGGAAAATATTGAGCATAATATCGCTGGCCGAGAGCGCCGCTGAATTGAAAAGAAATTTGGTTTTTTCACAAGACAATTCATTTTCTCGGCGATGCGATTTTGCTGCGACAGAGTGCTCATTATTTTCCCGACAAACTGATAACTCTCGCTGTAATTGTAAATGCAGCGGTAAAGTAATCAAAAAAACTTATTCTATAGCGCCAATAGAGCCCTAGCTCATGCTACTAGCTAACAACAGACAACATTATGCTCAAAAAACCCTTGTATTTTTTCAGTATGTCGCCCCTCGCCAACGGGCATCACAACCCATCGTCGTTGATGCTGGGCGGCGTGAAGGACACATCAACCGACTCCTCGTCGATAGCCATCCGCGGCGGCGAGTTCGTCCCAGAACTGGGCCAACCCAGTCTCTCCGACGACGAGATTGTCACCATCAACGTGGCGGGAATGAGATTTCAAACCATGGAGTCGACCCTGCGACGATTTCCGTGCTCAGTACTGGGATGTCCGGCAAAACGGAAACGATATTGGAATTCCACAACAAACGAGTACTTTTTTGATCGGCACAGGCAAAGGTAGGCAACAATTTGTCTAGGTTTTACGGCCGGGTGAACGAAATGTCACAAAATTTTTTTCTATAACTCGTCGGAAAATCAATTTGCAACAGTTTGAAAGTGTCAAATAGCTAGCAAAATACATCCTAATCAGCCCAAAAATTATTTTTACATTCCTTTCTTTATGTGGGAAAGCAAAAAAATTTTGTGACATTTTGTCCACCGAGCCGTAAAATCGAGATTCAAATGTGTAATAGCTATTTTGGTCTTGTAAAAAAATCGCATTACGTCCGTATTTTACAACAAATTCCACGAAAAAATTTATGCTTCGGAGGCGTTCTTTGGCGTTTCTCTCCGAGCGCTTTGACTTCCGGCTTGGCTATTGCCCTTCCTCGCATGGTCAAACTCCGCATAATCCGTGAATTTTGCCTTTCAAAAGCAAAGTTTTATTTACTTCCGGAAAAAAGGAGGAACACAACGATATAAAGGAGTCAAAGTTCAGTAAAATGACTGTCTATCAGTGGGTCGGGAAAATAATGTGGATTTGTCGCGGCTTGGAATCGCCCATCAGCGCTTTGCAAGGGCTTGTCGCGGCAGGATTTTGTGTGACGAAGCGAGAGATTTTGCTGCGACAACTCCACATTATTTTTCCCAACAGTTTGATAGGTGATCAATTAAAATATTAAAATTTAATTTCTACAAGCTATGATTCAAAATTGAGCGCCCCACTTAAAGCACCTTCCCTATCAACCAAAAAACACATCACTAGCACTGATCAAAGATCTCTCAATTTCAGCTTCGAAGCAGTTCTGCACATCTACCAGACGAACGGCCAAGTGATCCGACCGGAAGCTGTCCCCATTAACTTATTTTTACGCGAATTAAAATTCTATGAATTTGATAACGATGTAATGTCCAACTTCTGGGAGTCGGAGGGCTATCAAAAGCCAGCCGAAGAGGAGATGCCGAATGGGAAAGTGAAGCGAAAAATCTGGGAGCTCATGGAGCACCCCGACTCCTCCATTGCTGCGAGGATTTTGGCGTTCATTTCGATGTTTGTTATTACTGTGTAAGTGGGAAATACTGCTACTATGTTGTCTAAAAATACTTACATTTTTTGACGCTACGACTTTTTGGGCCAGCGGCAGTTCGGGTCAATGATGGTTCGTTGTTTTATGCAAGGGGGAGGCTAGGAGAACGCTTAGTTAGTAGAAATAATAGGATCCATCGGGTCTTAGGATATCTTATCACCTATTTTGAGGAATTTTACATGTACTCACACCAATAATATCTAGAAAAAAAGTTATGGATCTTTGTTTTTTGCAGCAAGCTTTGGTCTTTTCTATCTTACAAAAACCCAAGGAAAGAAAACAAAGGTTTGCAATAGCTCAAGTAAGAAAATGAGGTCGTACTTATTCACCCTGCATCCACTGGCTTTTCCAGGCCTCTTAGACACTCGCTACAAGCTTTTTTGGTCTTCAACTACCCATGCCCCGTATCAATCGATTTTGTGTTATAATAAATCGGTCATCAGCCTAAAAGTCGGGACACGAACTTTTCTGTTCCCTTACGGTTCGTGGTACAGCGAGTTGACTGTATTTATTATAATTTCAAAAACTCAATCAAATAATGCGTACATATTTCAGTTCGATCATATCGTTTTGCTTGGAAACAATTCCGGACTTCAAGGAGTCGGAAATGACGTCGCGTCAATGGTCCTCGCCCTTCTTCTTCATCGAGTTCGTTTGTTGCATCTGGTTCTCCGCTGAGCTTATTGTCCGTTTCATCAGCTGTCCAGACAAGATCAAATTCTGCAAGTCATTTCTGAACTTGCTCGACTTCATCGCTGTGGTACCGTTTTTCTTCAACTTGATATGGTAAGGAGTTATGACGCTTTTTCTATAATGAGCACTCTGTCGCAGCTAAAATCGCATCGCCGCCGAGAAAATGAATTTTGTCGAGGAAAAATCAAATTTCTTCGGCGCAGCGAAATTTTGCTCGTTCTCTCCCCGACAGCCTAATAGTATACATGTTTTTTCCACCTACACGTGCTCAATTTCAGGTCCGGCGATGAGGAAAACAGCCACGAGTCCAAGTCTTCCATTTCCTTCTCCGTTCTGCGGGTAATCCGATTGGTTCGAGTGTTCCGCATCTTCAAATTGAGTCGTCATTCGGTGGGGCTGCAAGTGCTGGGCAAGACGTTCCGTGCCTCCATCCAGGAGTTCTGCCTTCTCATCTTCTTCATGGTGATCGCATTGGTCCTGTTCTCCTCCGGGATGTACTTTGCGGAGCAGAACGAACCAAACTCCAAGTTTACGTCGATTCCGGCCTCCTTCTGGTTTGTCATGGTATGTGGTAACGGTTGCACTTATTTTTTATGTTTCTTTTTTGAAATATACAATGCTCTTACCTCGTAATTATTATCAATTTTCAGGCAACAATAACAACGGTCGGCTTTGGCGACTTGGTGCCGACAAGTCCCCAAGGGAAGGTGGTTGGGTCCTGTTGCGCTTTGATTGGTGTCCTCACTCTTGCTCTCCCAGTACCAATCATTGTAAGTAAACATATATCTTGTTGTTTATTTTCATAAAGTTCAGGAACGTTTGTTTTTTTTCACAGTGCATTTTGAACTTTTTCCCACGCCTGTCGCCAATGCACAGTGCATTTCTCTTTTCGCACAGTGCAAATCTCAAAAAAGGCGTTTGCACGTTTGCACTTGTGTATGTCGCAGCGATATTTCAATGCACAGTGCGAAAACGAAAAAAAGTAAAATGCACGGTGCAAAATGGGTGGGTAAAAAACCTTTTTTTTGCACGGTGCAAACCGCGATAAAATTCCCATCAACTTGATGAAAATACAAATAAATCTCCCTGTGTCCGGAAAATGTGTCACGATGACATCTGTTACAAACTGTGCCAGCGGTAAAAAACGGTTGCATATGGCTAAGAGTACTTCCCAGAGCACGTCAAAAAATTTCTGACATAGTAAAGGTCATCATAGCTGAAAAAATCCAGAAAATCCGTCATCCAAATTGCCCATTGCAAAAGTTGTGAACCTAAATCTTTTGTGGGTACTCTAGGGAGTACAAACAGACATATAAAGCCGGTGTTTATACCATTGCCACAATTTAAATTGATGTCATCGTGACACATTTTCTGGACAAGGATTTATAGGGTCCTAAAGTTATATAAGTCAGAAACCATCCGTCAAAAATCCCATTGAACAATTCAGAACCGACTGTAACACTGTATTTTTCCAGGTTGCCAACTTCAAACACTTCTACCGCCAAGAATGTCGTCTCGCCGCGCTTTATGCTCAAAATTTGAGCGAAATCGAGGAAATTCAAGCGCTAAAAGACGTCGAAGCCAACAACCATCCCCTAAAAGAGGGCGCCATCGGCATCAACTCAAACAATAAACCGGAAATGAACAACATCAAGACCATCTCCTACAACAACAACCAGCCCAGCAAGGTCATGGTGAATATCAGCGAAGAGCCGGAGCAGAACAGCTAAATTCCTTATTTATAACGGATACTAGATTAGATATCCGCAAATCACGTGTAAATCCGGTGAATTTTGCCGGGGTTTCGGTAATTTTTCGCAAAAATTTCGTCATAATGACGGAATTTGACGCTAAAATGACAAAAATATTGTTTTTTCCTGGTAAACCACGCCAAAAAATACTTACCGCGATGGCTGAATGTCAGTTTTATCTTGCAGGATCATTTTCTATCGACTTTTGCCAATTTGACGAAAAGCCACAAAATTATTGGATTTTTGGACGAAGTGTCACAAAATTATTGGATTTTGGGATTGCGTTGCTAACCAGTTTTAGACGCCTTCCCAGTCATCTCAGAAGGATATAGCCGTATTTAGCATGGTTTAAAAAGCAAAACTGACATTCAGCCATCAGCTATACGGCAAAACCCAGTTGTGCTTGCAATATTGTAGTCAACCCATACTCATTCCTCAAAAATTACAATCTCAGTCCATTAATCGTCGGTCTACTCCACGTCCACACAGTGTATCACATACAATTTGTCGGTTTATTGCGCATTATAAACGGGTAATTGTTGTTTTTTCTTTTTTTTTTGATTTCAAAATAAAAAAATTCTCATCGTCAGAAACATGCATAATTGTGGGAAAACCCATGTTTGAGAAGAGAAAAGAGCTCGCGATGGGTAAGTTGCTCATTTTACGAGCCTCTACAGCTAGCGAACGGTGCGTTTTCGGCGGTCTTTCTTGCGAAGGTTGGAAAATCATACTTTGAGTGGTCGTGCCGTCAAATCGTGTTGTAAGTTGGAGGGGAGGCTTTTTATATGATTTGGAACAGGTTTATCGGGCGTTGAGGGCTGAAAATTTTGGTCTCAACAGCCAAAGAAATCGATGAAAATTGATGAAATTTTACGAAATCAGTCAGTTGGGAAAAAAATCTCGATTTTTTGCAGCAAAATTACTCGCCTTGTTGCAGTCGCGGATCAAATCTCTAGCCGTGGCTAGCTGTCGCGAAGCGATAATGACCGAATTCAAGGCGCGACATATCCACACTATTTTCCCGACAAGCTCTTATCATACGCATATCAGTCTGTAGGAAAAATAATGTGGGTTTTGTGGCAGTCACACGTCAGGTATCCAGCCGTGGTTAGCGTCGCAAAGCTGGGTCCAATGCGCTAACCGAAAGTTTACTGAAAATCATAGGGCGCAGCTCGAAAGCAAGCTAAAAATTAGCTCCGGCGAGCTGCGAAAGCTTGTTTTTTCCGAGCTGCGCCCGAGATGCGAGCCGCGCCCGTGCCACTTTCCCGAGCTGCGCCCTACCATTTTCAGCTAACTTTCAGAGAGCGCATTGGCCCCTGGCCGCAATGATGGCCGATTTCGAGGCGCAAAAAATCCGCATTATTTTCCCGACAGACTGATAGTACGATATCAGTACGTCGGGAAAATAATGAGCACTCTTTCGCTTCGAAAATTGCATCACCGCCGAGAAAATGAATTATGTCGCTGGAAAAACAAAATGCTTTACTTCAGCGACGACATTGTGTTCAGTATTTTCCTGACAGAGTGATAGTATTGTTTTTGCCATAAGTCATCTCTAAAGCCATGAATTGGGGATCCGGTGGCTCAAATTAACTATTTTCCCCACTCCAGTCCGCCATGAAAGACGGCAAGCCGAGCGAGGAGGACAGCTCGGTCCGCGTGGACAATTTTCAAACCGTCCAAACCACCGAAGAGCAACTCGCTACGAAGGAAAATGCCGAGGGCATCCTTGAAAGTCATGAGAAAATCGAGAAAACCGACAGCCATGAGAGACTGGGCAGCAAGGAGAGAGTCGGCAAAGAGCGGATCGGCAGAGAGAAGAAGCCGAAAAAGGACATCAAGACCAAGGCTGGGAAAAGAAGCAAGGAGAGTCGACTGAAGAGGGATCGGTCCGGCTCCAAGGAGAAGATCACGAAGCCGAGAAGGGGTGAGAAGGAACCTTTTGAATTTTTTTTTTGCAAAATGGGGATTTTTTGGGGATTTTGATATTTTTTGAGAATTTTATTGTTTTCCGATTTTTTTTATTTTTGAAAAAAAAATTATGAGGAAATTGGATTACACAATTTTTTAAAGGCTCTACAATTCATTATAAGACGTTTTTCCCCCTAAAAAATCATTTTTTAGTCAAAAAAATAAAAATATTTTCTATTAAAAAGTTTGTTCATAACGTCCTAAAATTTTTTAAAATACGCTGTCTGAACTTTTTGCCTCTTTACCCCTCACTTTTCAGCCCTGTCCAGAGAAAAAACCGTAACAAATGACACTTCGTTGGACCTCGGCAACTCCCAAGAAGAAGAGTCGGAATCAAAGGGCGACAAGGAGAATTGCTACCGCACAATGATTCCAATCGAGCTGACGGCGCTGCAGAAGAGGACCTGGTACCATGGGTTGATGCCACGCGACGAAATTGAGCATATTCTACAGCAGGATGGGCAATTTTTGGTTCGCAAGACGGAAGTGGGAAAAGGCGAACAGCAGGAGCGATTGACGTTGTCGGTACGGTGGAAGGGAAGGGTTAGGCACATTTTGATCCGATTGAACAAAGAGAACAAGTGGGCTTTCATTCCGGAGTGCGGATTCGACAGCATTGAGAAGTTGATCAGCTTTTATATGGTGAGTTGCGGGGAAGTTGGGGTAAAATACGCCGTTTCTAGTGTCTGGCTTATTGAATATTGGCTTATTTTTGGACTATGGAGTTTTTGTATCAGTTTTTGAACTTTTGGATGATTTTAAGAGGTTGTTGCATAATGCCAAAAATTTGAAATTTTTTGGCGGGAAATTGAAATTTTTAGAAATCTGGAGTTGATTTAATCATTATGAAGGTTCTTTAGGCAATTTCCAAGAATTTTCTCAGTTTTTATGGGTTGTTGCAGAATGCCAAAGATTTGAAAAGTTGGCGGGAAATTTGAAATTTCAAAACTTTAATGTATTTTTTCGACTTTTCATGAGTCTGTTATTCTTTTGTTTTTATGTTTTTATAATCTTTTTGCAATTTTCAAAGGATTGTTGCAGAATGCCAAGAAATTGAAGAATTTAAAATTCGAAAAAATTGATTTAAAATTCGAAAAAATTGATGAAACTCTTTCAAAGAAAGGCTGAAGAATCCGTATTCTACATTTTTTTGTTGAAATGTTTTAAATTTTGCGAAAATTTGAATTTTTGCCTAAAAATCCCGTTTTCAGCTGACCAAGGGCGAGATCCAAAAAGAAGGCACCAAACTGCTCACCCCCGCCCCGCGACCCGATTGGTACCTTCTTCACTCGCAAATTACGACTAAAAAGAAGCTGGGAAACGGCCATTTCGGCGAGGTTTTCCTCGGCGAACTGCACACGGAAGAGAAGACGATCGAAGTGGCGGTGAAGATGCTCAAAGGAAAGATGGGGAAGAAGGAGCGCTCCGACTTCATGAAGGAAGCGGCGATTCAGCGAAAATTCAAGAACGCCCATGTGGTTGGGTTGCTGGGAATTGCACCCACCGAAGAGCCGTTTATGGTGGTCTTGGAGTATTGCCCCGGAGGCGATTTGAGGAATCATTTGAGGAATACGAGCAAAAACGATCCGTTTATAGTCTTGAATAAGTAAGGGAGATATTTGAAGGCTATTTTTGGGATTTTTTAGGGAAATTTCGAAATGTTGGGTCCCAACACGAAAACTTGATTTTTTGGTTTTGATTGTTTTTGAAATTCTAAATAAGTAAATGGACCCTTTAGAAGCTGTTTTTAGAGTTTATTAACTATTTTTTTGTAAAAATTGAAAAATTTTGGGTCCCACCACGAAGAATTGATTTTTTGGTTTTATTCTTTTTTACTTTTTAAAGAGGCAAATTAACCCCTTACAAGGCGTTTTTAGTACATACAAGACATTCCTTTCAAAAATTTTAGAAGTTTTGGGTCCCACCACGAAAACTTGATTTTTTTACTTTTTGCATTTTTAGGTATTTGGTGGACGCAGGAAAGGGAATGGAGTACCTACATGCCCTAGACGTGATTCACAGAGATTTGGCGGCCAGAAATTGCCTACTTTCCGCCGATTTTACGGTAAAAGTGTCGGATTTTGGACTTTCCGTCAAAACCAAGGATTTGCGCGACCAGAAGTAGGTTTTTTACGACGATATCATCAATTTTCGTACATTAGGAAGCAAAAGATGGCAGTAAAGTGGATGGCGCCGGAGGTGCTGCGCTCCTACACCTTCTCCAAGGCGACGGACGTGTGGGCCTTTGGGATCTTGATGTGGGAGGTGTACAAACACGGCAAACTGGACCCATATCCGGACAAGACCACCGCCGAGGTCCGGAAAATGCTGTTGGAGACGAAGACGCGCATGGAGATCCCGTCGGACCTGCCGCCGCAAATCCAGGACATCATGAAAGAGTGTTGGGCCGAGAACCCCAAGGAAAGGCCTAGCATGCGGGATGTGGTGACCGTGCTGAGCGGCGGAACGGTGCTGATGCCCAAGAAAATGAAGCATCTCATGAACAAGCTCTCGGTTTATCAATAAAAGCTATAATGTATTTATTTTTGATAATGTATTTACTTGGATAACTGACAGGGGAAGTGATCCAAGTGCGACGCTCAGATTTTGATGAAACTTGGCACAGAACAACTTTTTTCTAAGATATATGCGAGAATCCTAGCTCGCCCTTTGCAGAAACAACCGAGATTTTTAGATCGAAAGTAAAATTTTAGGACTTTTTGCCGAATTTTTCGGCACGAAAAGTTTCATGCCCATTTCTACCGTAAAGGATAATGTTTCTACAAAAAATAAAATTTTTCCGCGCGAAACTGTCAAAGTTATGACCAAAAAGCGTTTTTCTCTCTGACCGATCTCCACGTTTAGCGTGCTCTCTCGGCGGCAAAAATCGTTCGATATCTCGGCGGCGCCCGCAAAGCGCGAGCTAAAACTTTCAGGAATTGATACTTCGTCCATACCCGGCGTGTGTGCAAAATTTAAAGCAAATCTGAGCGTCGCACTTGGAGTACTTCCCCTGTAAATAAAATTTTTTTTAAATTGTTGCAGCCAGCTTGAAATCAACGGTAAGAGTTTGACCCGTTTATGGTGCGTAGGGAATAAAAAATATGAATGAAGCTCCCACTTCTCGGCAAGTCTCTGTCGTTTCTGCAATACGCAATTAGAAACCCTAAATCTAAATTTACGTTGATTTTCGTCAAAATCTGAGCTTCGATCACCTCCTTTGTAAAGGTGTACTTGACGGTAAAACAGCTCATGTAGCTTTGAATGTACATATCAAACGAACGGAACGTATGCATGTTTTATAGTCTATCTTTGGATGATTCATCCGGTCAGCAAACCCGTAAACAACGCCACTCTACTTTGGTGTTCCCGAATTTGTAGTTTATCTTTTATTTTGTTTGGCTCTCCCTTTTTCCTCGTTCGAAACCGCTGTTTTTGGGCTTGGGGGAATCTTTTCTGGTTGTCTTTGGAAGGGTAGCTAGAGGGGAGGGGGTACTACGCAGGCAAGGCCTAAAAATGGCAAGGTGGGAACAAGGTAATTTTCGCGGTAATTTCGCGAAGACGACGTTTACTTGCAATTTGTCGTACTAGTTTTTTCCGGAAGGTCGCCGGGCTGAAATTGGCAAATTTCCAGAAGAGCTGGTACGGAAATTCCATCGTTATTTCAAGTATCTTCTTTGCAAAGTTTTTGCAATGTCCTCCCTCCCCGAGCATGAAGAAAATAAAGTGGAGAAAAACACCGAAGACTCATACTGCAGCGATTTTACACAGTCCAGCTCAGACACTGATTCTTCATCTGCAAGTGACTATGAATACGGTGAAACTTTTGTTTATGAAATCTCGGAGACTGCGGCAAGGTTTATCCGAAAGAACTTTGGCTCCGAAGTCGACTATCATCTGACTCGGGATGATGAGAAATGGACTTGCGAATTGATTACGACTCCTGACAATGAGGAATTCCATAACTTGGTGTTTGCCGATCTAGACGCAACGTTGAACACATGGCCATTTGGAATGCTGGCAAAGAAGCTGGCAAAAGAGACGGAAGAGGCGTTTCAGACGTGAGTGAATTTTTGTTGGTTGAATTTTTACTCAACTTTCCTGTCGTATTATCTTTAAATGTGATTATCAGTCTGTCGGGAAAACAACGGCGGGTCGTCGCAGAAAAATGTTTACGCTGTGAGGAAACAAAAGTTTTCTTTCTACTATGCAGTTTCTTGATTTTTGCAACGTGCAGATTTATTCTCCCTGACTTGAGGTTTGCACTGTTCGAAATGAAGATAATGCACAGTGCGTTAGCGCGTTGCATTTGATGATAAAATATCAGTCTGTCGGGAAAATTGTGAGTGCAATGTCGCTGTGTCAATCGCGGCGAAAATCAATGAGCTTTGCCGCGAGGAAAGTTCTTTTTCTTGGCGGAGATGCAATTTCCTATGCGACTGAGTGCTCCAACGGCAAACAACGTTTCATTTTTCATCCGGGAAGGGACTAAATGTCTCCAAACCCTTCCCTTCTCTAAGCTAAAACACCCCGCTTTGAAGAGCCCGCCTTGAAGGAAAGGGCGCGTTTTTCAAAGCGGAGTTTTTTTAGCTTAGAGAAGGGAAGGGTTTGGAGTCATTTTGGTCCCTTCCGGGATGCAAAATCTGACGTTTTTTTGCCATTGGATCAGGTCCCTCACTGTATTTTCCCGACAGACTTGTCGCACGGAAATATGTAAATACAAACTCGGCTTTTCATTTTTAGGCTGTTCATGGACAATGTAGACAGGTTGCTGATGATTATCGAGTTTTGCAACCTATTTGAAAACAATGCGTCTTCAAGCTTGGAAGAAGTGGAGGCTCTCCTTGATGACGAAACTAAAATCAAAGCTCTTGAACTGCATCTTCGAGAAGCTTTGGAGCTGCAAGATTACTTGGAGCTTGACGTACAGGGATTTGTAGAGCAGCTGAAAACACTGTATCAAGAAGAGGATCGATGGCGTAAAGCTGGACCTTTTTTGGCGGAGAAACAAACTGCTCGGCTGGTGTAGGTTTTTTGGTTTTTCAGTTTGTCGGGAAAATAATGCGGACTTGTCGCAGCAAAATTCCTTGTCTTGTCGCTGTCGCGCACCAAATCCCCGGCTTTGGCAAAGCTTCGCAATGTGATGATGGACGATTTTGAGGCACGAAAAATCCATATTATTTACCCGACAGATTGATATTATACAGTATTGTACTATCAGTTATTATACTATCAGTCTGTCGGGAAAATAATGTGGATCTGTAGCGAAGTACCGAAGGGCGATTTTAAGGCATAACAAATCCACATTATTTTCCCGACAGACGCACATTAATGCTCTGTGCAAAAACGAAAAAAGTGTCCATGCACTTTATGAAAATAACATATTGATATGCAACATTATTTGCAGGCCCTTCCTCGTTGCTGCTGCTCTAGACTTGGACAAAAGTGACGTTTTAAGTCTACGTTTGGTTTCGAAAGAATTCAAGGAAAAAGTCGACTATTCGTTGGTCGACAACATGTATGTGCAATCGCGGTTCTACAAAAACAACTTTGGAATTGTTGAGTCAAACGACACGCGGTTTGTGGTGAGCTAAATTTGTTCCGTGCACTTTATGAAAATACGAATAGTTTTGTCGCAATTTGGAGAAATCTAAAACCTTTATTTTCCAGAAAATTGCCAACCTCTTAACGGGTAAATCAATACTTCACTGCGACAAGAATACTGCCAAGAAATTATCGCCAATCGTTTCCATTTCTTCCGACAATGATTTGTCATATCTTTATCAATCCGAAGCCGGTGAAGAGCTAGCGCTTGCTCTGAAGCAGACTCCCGAATCATCTTTCATTGGCCCACTTGAACATGATGTTTCTGGTGAGAAATGGAGGCTGATTCAAGGCACATTGAAGCACGAGGCTTTTGAGGAGATTTTTCGAAAAATTATTCAGCTTGAATAGTAATAAAGTAAAAGGTTTTACCGGGGTTTACAAAGTTCAAAGCCCAAGTTTAAGTTCAATATATTAGGTTGGTAAAAAAGTATTCCCCAAAATTTTTAGGAAAATTTATGGAAGTTGTGGAACTTTTTAGAATGTTCTATCATGTGACTATGCAAGGGTGATATGATAACGTATAGACTGATATGTAACTTGTCCCCATAGCGCTGGCCAAACGTGGGGAAATGTCCATCCAAAAGTTGCTTGTTCGTTGTGGCGCCTTAAAACCGCTCATCATCGACTTGCAAGGCCCTCAACCGAAGATTTGACAAGGAATTTTGCTGCGACAAGTCCACATTATTTTCCCTACAGACTGATTAGCAGGAAGAAAAGGGGTAAATCATCAAAAAATTTTATGATGACCCGACTAGGCCCCCACAATTACTATATTTTCCTGGCCTGGCGTCACCCCCTAACTCCGCCCCTGTCTGTAAAGAATCCAACTATCTTTCCTCATATTTATTTTGATCAGAAAATAAATCCAAATCCTACTGTGAATTTGTGAGTATCTCCAAATAAATGTCTACAATCTTGAAGCCGCAAATTTGAATACATCTTCAGCCAACACCTTGGGCAGCTGGAAAGCCGCGAAATGACCGCCATCCTTCTGTACAGTATAGTGCGTCAAGTTCATGGAGTGCAGAAGGAGCTCCTTGGGGCTGGCGACAAGATCGTGCGGGAAGTAGGAGACTCCCGTTGGGGCCGAGTTGTACATACTGAAGAGAAGGGTTGATTACAATGCGATTTACATCTTGATATTTGGCATGAAACATAATATCTATAAAACTTACTCTTGGAATTTGAGGTAGTCCGGGTTGTGGAAGCTCTCGCGATACAGCCGTTGAGAGGGGAGGATGTTCTGGTTGAACCAGTAGATGGAGATGATTGTCAGGACCTCGTCTTTGGTGAAGAACCTTAAATCAAGCGGTTTTTTGTGTTAGAACTATGGAAAGTTTTTATTTTTTAACTGTCCAAAACATACGTAATGAGAAATGGATACGAAGAGGACAGATAAATTACTATTTTAGCCGCTGTGCCGATTAGTCTCTCAAACGGAGATACCCCAGTAAAAGAACATACACAAATCCACATTATTTTCCCGACAGACTGATATCAAACCAGAGCCACAACCTACTTTTCCAAACCTCCATCCTTGGCCTGCACAAAGCTGGGATTAGTCCACGTGCTAAACTTCTCGCCAATATAAGCCAACAATCCCAGTGGCGAATCATTAAGTCCCACACCAACCGTATCCGGCTTGGTGGCTTGAATATGCAGGTAACCCGACTCCTTGACCATGAAGAAGAGGTCCTTTTTGAGCGAAAACTCCGAGAACGCGGGGTCTTCGAAGACGAGCGATGGGAAGTAGGATCCGATAATTTGCCGGATGAAAGTCGCCGGATGCGCCATGTTCAACATGGCGAGGTTGAGATGGACGCCGATGAGGCTCTCCGGGTACAGTTTGCCTTGTGCGTTGGCCACAACCGAGCCCCAGTCACCGCCTTGAACCAGGTACTTGGGGAATTTGAGGCGGTCGGTCATCAGCTTCTTGAAGATTCGGGCGACAACGAAAACGGAGAGACCTGAAGAGAGGTGGAGATATAGCCGAGGTTTTAATGGGCAATTCCGATATTGTATTTTATAACATATAAGACTATACAATCAAGTTTAGGTTTGCCAAAAATTTCATATTTTTCCTACTTTCGATATAAAGATCCCTAAAATTCTTGGCCGTTTCTGCAAAGTGCCAGCTAAGAGTCTCGCAAGGGCCTTAGAAAGCCTCATTCCAAACTTGTGACAAGTTTCAGTGAAATCTGAGGGGCCCACTTGGAGTACCAGCCCTTACTAATTTTATGTGCAAAGAAAACTTTTGTTGTCTCGCAATGCGCGTCGCTGATTTCAGCTCAGCGAGTACTCTAGCCCTTCCAAGAAGAGCTAGAGTACTCGTCTTGTGAGCACAGTAACTCACCTCTCTTATGACTCGCCTCCGACCATCCGTAGCCGGGAATCGACGGTGCCACTACCTCAAACGCCACCTTGTCTCCTAGCCCGTGCTTCTTAGGGTCGGTCAACATGGGGATGAGCTTGTAGAACTCATAGACATTTCCAGGCCAGCCATGCGCCAGAAGCAGCGGGACCACCTTCTTATAGCCGGCGGGCGGCTTCGCATGAATAAAATGAATCCGCAGCCCTTCAACTTGCGTGGTAAATTGAGGGAAAGCGTTGAGTTGGGCTTCATGCTTGCGCCAGTCGTACTTGTTCAGCCAGTGATCGCGCCATTGTTGAAGGGTTGACAATGGAAAGCCGTATTCGAAGTCGGGAACGTCTTCCAGTTGTTGATGACCAATTCGAGCGGATTTCAGACGGTCTTTTAGGTCCTGCAATAAATTTTTATCGTAAATATACTGGTGGAGCTGACCTAGTGGCAAAAAATGTGCCATTTTGCATCCGGGATGCATTAGAAAGGTAGCAAAATACCTCCGTCTCGAGGTGAAAAAACTCCAATTTCAAAAGCGCGCCCGTTTTTTTTGTGATATGAAAGGCGCGTCCTTCCATAGAGAGCTTTTTTTATTAGTTGGCGGGGAGGCATTTTGCCACATTTTTGATACTTCCCGGATGCAAAACTGTACGTTTTTTGACAATGGATCAGTTCCGCTGCTGTTTGTTGTATATACAACGAATGGAAAGGAAAAAAATAATTCGCTATAGAGGGGTTTTGTTGTAAAAATGCTCTACATATGTACATGTTGGTAAGCGAGTTGTTGAAGCTCACGTCAAAGAAAAAATGAAAAAAACAAGGAATCTCGGATCAATGATTTTTTACGAAATGTCGCTGAATTATCGAGTCACTGAAGAAAACTTTTCTAGAGAAAAAGTTTTTTTTTGAGAAAAATGTTTTTTCGAAGAGAAAAATAATCTTTCTAACTCGATAATTCTGTGGCACTTCGCAAAAAAAACCAATGAATAGAGATTCTTTGTTTTTTCAATTTTCTGAAAGAACTTTTTTGACGTGAAGCTATTTTCTTGGTCAGAAAATAGCTTCAGCTACGCTGGATTGACGTACAAAACGCCTTGTTGTATCTCAGTTCGTTGCACAATTTCTTGGTCCATTTTAGAAGCCCTTATCTTTGAGTTAAACTCCTCACCTGTATGTCCTTGTCAGCGACTTGAATTTTGAACGGCTTAATACTGGTGTCGTCCGGCTTTGGCTCTCCGCTTCCATAATATCCCGTCTTCGGGAAGTCCACTTTGGTTTCGGACCGGTTGAAAACACAGTAAAGTGTGACGCCGAGCACCGCAGTCAACACGGAAAGGAGTATCTTCCCCATTCTAAAAGAAAACAAATAATATTTTTTCGAGAAGAAAGATATTATATTTATTATGAAACTCGGAAAAAGAACGCTTTTAGGTCCAAGGTTCGAAAAAAGATAAGTTTGTTGTTCGAGGCAAGCGAGGTCTTTTTTTTGAGCCGAAAAATAATAAGAGCGTTGAAACGGGAAAAGCGAACAGTGGGGAGCGGAGAAAGTTTGTTTCCCATGCCGTAAAGAGCGAGATTTAAAAGTGGCTTGTCTCTTTACTGTCCTTCAATAAGGAAAATGCTCGAAGTGCAACCCTTAGATCTTTCACAGATTCCGGAGACATGTAGCCGAGGAAAAACCGAAAGTTTCAGAAAATCATAGGGAGCAGCTCGGAGAACTTGCACGAGCGCAGCTCGCGTCTTGGGCGCAGCTCGAAAACAAGCTGAAAGCTAGCTTCGGCAAGCTGCGAAAGCTTGTTTTCAGAGGTGCGCCCTTCCGCTTTCAGCTAACTAGCAAACTTTCAGATAGCGCATTGGCCCCGGGCTGGCCATTAAAAAATCTAAAATTTCCGAAGCCCGGCCCGATAGTTTGACATAATTTTTTAAGCGCCATCTTTTTAAATAAGTCAAAACAAATCTTTTTATGTAAAGAAAAGACTGGTTGACTGCATCCCGACCGCAAAACTAGCGTCCAGATTTATTACTTTGTCTCTCTGCGGTAAATAAAAGGGACTAATGTTTTTGTGGAAAAGAATTTGCAAAAATAGCGTATTTTTGGCAAATTTCGACCTAAACAACCTAAAAATGTCAGTCGTTTCTGCAAAACGCGAGCTAGGAACATGACATAACAATTTTAAAAAGAAATTCTTATATTGTGATAAGTTTCATCGAAACTCGAGCGTCGCACTTTGAGCACTTCCCCGGTGAACCCTTTGCAATCAATACACCACCGTCTGGCATGTATAACACACAACTGAACAGCGATTGTTTACAAAAATCACCACGCTCCGCTTTTGATAAAGAGGAGGAACACGGCGATTGCTTGTTTAGTGTAATGCCCGCTCGAAGGCACATGATGATGTGGTTCGAAGCTCCGACACAAACCCATTTTAATCGCTGATAAAGAGCCGGAATTAGAAGACGAATTGGGGAGTTCAGCTGTATATCACAAGCAATAGAGCACAAGAATTATAGGTTTGGATGATGTGGGAAGAGTTTGATTAGGGCAAAACTATCAGAGGAGAAATTTCCCGAAGGCCAGAGGCTTTCCGTGTACGAATAAGACAATTTTTACTGTCTGTCGGGAAAATAATTTGAATGGAAAAGTGACGCAACGTACCGCAGTCCATCGAGAACAGGGGCCTGAAAACGTACAGTAATTTATCGCTATTCTCTCAGCTGTCGGGAAAATAATGTTTACAATGTCGCTAAATCTCGCGGCAATGTGATTTTCGATGCGAAAGAGTGCTCATTATTTTCTCGACAGACTCGTTGTGTCTCCAAAAAAATCTGTCACAATGACATTCGTTTAAGATGTGCTACTGGTATAAACAACGGCTGTACATGGCCAGGAGTACTCTCTAGGACACCTCAATGAAATCTCGGGCATTCAAAGACTCTTAAAATCCAGAAAATCCGCCATCGAAGATGAAAAAATCTGAAGACCCGTCATCCAAGGAAGTTTTGGATCTAATCCTTTGAGAAAGCAACACTTTTTGTCCATATCCTTGCCAGTTTCGCGTGAAAAAAATTGATTTTTTTGCGGAAGCACTAACCGAGAATTAGGCATGAAATTTTTCATATCAAAATTTGCGAAAAAGTGTCCCATTTTCGCCAGATTCTGTCCTAAAAATCTCGGGTTTTCCATAAATCGCGGGCTTGAGGTCTATCATATGCGACAGAAAATCTTGTACTAATTTTGTCACCATTTTCATTCTGATCTGAGTGTCATACTTGACGTTATTTTTACTCTTGTAACGGCGTTCGCTCAAACCTCTCTCCTCTTTTGGCCCTCTTCTGAACCGGATAAACCACTCGAACTTTCGACTTCAACACAACGAAAATTACAGCAAAAATAAAAAAGATTACACACAAAGGCACTTGTTCATTGCCCCGAATGTACCTGTTTTCCAACTTCACATGCCGGATACGATCGACTACAAGTTTTATTTTCGACACTGTAGCTACAAGTGGTTTCTAAAAATTCGCGAACCGCATTCCTTTTCAAATCGTCATTGCACTTTTGGCAGATGGGGTTTTGGAGTTCCGTGTTGATGGTAAACGTTCCGGAGTTTAGGCCGATCGAGAGCATTTCGATGAGTTTTTGGTATTTTCAATGTAGGCAGGCAGTGAGTGTGGTATCCCCTTGAAACATGGTCAACCGGCCATATATATTGGCATGGCGCATCGAAGGGACAAAGCTAAGCGCGGGGGAAGGGGTACGATAGCCAAGACGGGTCGAAGATGAAATGGTAAAAGGGCCTATAGGTAATTTTGAAATTTTTTATATCTTGAACATCTCCCTCCCCTGGCCTCTTGATTTTTGGTCAGCCGTGCCCTTGATGCATAGTCTTATAAAGCTTACAGTAACTAAATAATGAGGCTAGCGGATGTTCTTGAAGGCGGGTACAGTGAGACCGTCCTACAACAGTATTCCATAGAATAGTTCATCGGCGATTTGAGCTCTTCACATGTACTTCCACCTATAATATGGAAGAAAGCTACTGTATCTTTGTTTTTCGAGCCACCTGCTGCCCTTTCTCTAGGGCAGCAGGTGGCTCGTAGCTCAGGATCAGAGACCACGAAGGTTATCATGGCTATGATTAAAAAAATGTACATACAGATAGAAAGCTCTCGATAAACCTCCGCGGAGCCTTCGCCGCGTCTCCGCCAAGCTTCCGGTGGATTTGCCACGCCTTGTAGGCAACTGCTAAGACATTGTTCCGGGCCACCCTCTGCCTTATATCGCGCACCGATCTAAATATTTTGTAGGCCCGAATAGTCAGGGCGTGGTAAACTTTTTTTATTCCATGATAGCAACTGTGCTTTCTATCTCTGTTCGTTACTCTCTGTATAACAAGGAGTAACATTCAGTTTACTGCCTTACTATTCATAGGACTCTTTAGGCCACTTTTGTTTCTTTCGCTGTTTTTAAACATGCATTTTACAACGACACAAAAACAGATTGTAGGGATTCTTTTTTAATCAGTTGTATTACGGTAATATCGAGTACAACTGGGCCATATTGAAAAACATTTAGTGTAGCTTTATATTTCCTTCAGTCAAAAATGATTACCCTGGTATAGTAGGTATATCCTCCGCATTTTGCCTATTCTCTCGGCCGGAAAGATCGTTGGATTTCTCTAGTTCGCGTTTTGCAGAAACAGAAAAGATATTGTAAAAAATTTGACTTACTTCCTAAGGTATCAACAGTCAAAATTTGAATTGATCCTTTATTCTCACGTATGTCTTTTCAAATTCTTTAAAAAGAACTGAGTCCAATTTCCTATTCGAATTCTGAATCGAATAATTCGACCGAAAGTGCAAAATTTCAATTTTTGGGAAAATCGTCATTGTCGACAAAAAATATTTTGGAAGGAGGTCGGTCGGGCGATTATCGCGGTTGAGAAAAAATTCTAAATACAAGTCAAAATACATGAAATTAAATACACCTGAGGCTACGAACGTTATCTCCTGGAGGTTTTCTGACATTTTCAATAACGATATTTGACGAAAAGGAGGATTTTTTCGGTTCCAAGTGTGACGCTCAGTAACTTTTAAAAAGTTTTTTACCGATTGAAGCTTCTCATAACGAAAAATTTGTGCTGATGTTCAGCTATCCTAGTACAACAGATATAAAAAGTATCAAAAGATTCTGAGATGGTTGTTTTTTGGAAATCTCCGGGCGATCCTTCAAGTTGCAAAACTCTGTTAAATTCTCCACACGTCCATAGTCCAAATATTACGCTTTTTCAAAAGTGCAGACACATTTTGTCGTGGGCCGCACCGTGCACAAAACTCCCTTTTGCGGGGTGCATTTTGACCTTTTGCACTGTGCAACCGGATATCGCTGCGACGCAAGCTTTTCTCAACGGAGCCGGCGCGAATTTTTGAAATTGCACAGTGCAAAATGTTTCGAATCGGATCGCGTCGCGCGGGGAACACGAAACTTGCACTGTGCGGTGCAAAAAAGGCCGGAAAATGTGTCTGCACTTTTGAAAAAGCGTAATAGCAATTCTTTTGTTAGTTCTATACCTTTTTAACTTTAGCGGAAATACTATATAATACTACGCCGTTTCAAAAGTGCGTTGACTTTTTGTCGCAACTGTGAAATTCAAAAATCGCCGCGGTGCAAGGTTCTTCAATATCGTCGCCACGAATTTTGCGAGCGTGACAAGCATTTCACAGTAAAAAAAGTGGAAGAATGCGCTGTGAGCCGCAAAAAAGTCCATGCATGAAACGGCTTAGCAGCAAGTTTTAAGGATAGAATACCCCTCTCCTCGTATTTTAGGGACTTATCGCAGTTATACGCCATTCATGGCACATTTTTCCGATTTTTTCAAAATGTTTGCAATTGAAAAAACATGGAAATTTCAAATTTCCAGAGATCCCGGTAAGCAATCAAGCAACCGAACCCCGGACCAAAAATTGCTCCCAAATGACAATTTTCCCAAAAATTGGAATTTTGCACTTTCGGTCGAATTATTCGATTCAGAATTCGAATAGGAAATTGGACCCTGGTGTCATTCTTGGAACGTTACATAATTAATGCATCAAAAAGTTCCTGAATATTGTGTGCAGGGTTTACCGTCTCAACCGGTGAATTTTCTTGGATTTTGTAGTTTTGCCGTGTATTATTATTTTTTTCTTTTACCGTTTTTGTTCCTTAAGATGCATAATAAGGAAGATGCGTCAAGTGCGACGTTCAGATTTTCTTCAAGACAGTTCGGATCAGCACAGAATCGATCGATACGGGGCGTAAGGCAAGAAAATACTCAAAGAAAAAGATTGTAGGAAATGCCTGCAAGGCTTGGCAGAGTCGTGGAGTGGTTGCTGAATGCTCGGCGAAGGCTCGGCCGCGACTTGGCGAAGACTTGCAATATGCCCGCTTTTCCTAATTTTGATATTTCTAACGCTAGTTTTCCTTATTTTGAGTTATTGTAACATCGCGTGGTTAAATAATAACAATAAATATAACCGCGCATAGTATCGTTTACCAGAACTGTCGCTGACCGAAAAAGACACAGCGCCGAAATTTCAAATATGTCGTTGCAAAAAATCCCATTAGGCTTTGTTAATGAAAAATTTGTCTGAAGATTTACTATACCGCTAATGTCAAGTCTTTTAGAATTCCTTTTGAACTTGAAAATACACAAATTTGACAGGTGCAACTACGTGGGAGCCTTAATTCGTAAACAAATTGTCCTTTTGAGCCTCGGTAATTGAATATGCCTGCTTACGACTTGGTTTCTTAGACCTGCGGCAAGTTTGGGAGAGTCACCAAGTCATAAATCATTTTTGGGGTTTTTTAGATTTGTTAGTTTCCGAGAAATTTGAGCGTATTGAAAAACCTTTGAATTTAGTTGAATAAGCGTTAGCGGTCTCTGCGACTTGCGAACGGACTAGTATCAGTCCGTCGAGTGTTGGCGGTTTTTGTGAGTAAAATAGCGGCCTATCATCGTTTTGTGACGGCAAGCCACAGCAGGAAATCTAGTGCCAGGATGCTTTCTTCGACGAGACATTTTGCTGCGACAACCCGCCACTGTTTTCCCGACAGACTGATGTAATATTTGGCACCAAAAATAATGGGTTTCACGTGCGTGCCACGCTCAGATTTCCTCTACATTTTGTAGCAATAAGTGTTCCTAGATGAAACTTTGCTGTGAACCAACAACAGCCGACACAGCGTTCAGAAATGTCCCTTTAAAACACAGTAGTTTTGCAATTCCACTGGTCACAAAAACTTTGTCCTGCTAAAGATTGCACCTTATCTGCCCACATAGTTCGAGTGGTGATTAAAATGACACATACTTGGTTATCTTTCCATCTAAAAATGTTTCACCACAAGTGGGTGCTTGTTGAAGATTGTAGCAACGAACGAGTTGTTCTTTTCACAAGGTAAGGGTCCCATGTGTGACTTGTTGTTAGATATTGCGAAACTTTGCACTCATTCTGGGCCTTGGAGGCATTTGGAGTGTAAAATTTTTGCTTGTGTTTGGTAGCCGAGAAATTCAACGGTCTTTGGTTAGTCAATATGTCCTAAGGGCTGTGAAAGGTGTTTTCTACCATTGTTACAGTCGAAGACCTATATCCAGTGGCAAAAAACGTGCCATTTTGCACCCGGGAAGAATCAATGTGGTAAAATGCTTCCCCCTCCAAGTGGAAAAACTTCGTTTTTGACGGGCGCGCCCTTTTTCCTCACAAAAAGAGCGGGCGCGCTTTTAAAATCTGAGTTTTTTTCATTTGGAGAGGGAGGTATTTTGCCACATTTTTTGATGCTTCCTGGATGCCCAATGGTATTTTTTCCACTAGATCATGTCCCCCACTGTATAATCTGTGGATAAACTATAACAGTTTGGCTTCCCAATTTAGCCTTTGGCTATGTTTTTTCAAGGCTTCACAATCATTCTGAAACGTTGGCTAGCCAAACGAAGTTTTTTTGATTGCAAATTGTTGCCAAAATGCAGAAAAAATGGCTTTTTTGCCAAAAACACGGTTGTCTCCGCAAAGCGCGAACTAGGAGTCCAGCATGTGTTCTACAAAAAATAGTTTAAATTTGCATTGAACTCAAACCGTCACATTTTGACCTTTTGTTTCCAATTCTCTATTAATTCCTTCGACTCTCTATTAACCCCAATTTGATGTTACTTTGTCAGGTGTGGCCTGGTGTGGGAATGTACACCATGCTTGAACAATTATTTCATTATTTCCCCGGTTGTGAACATCATTTTTATTTTCGGAATGGTAGTTGTAGGGACCGTTACTCCGCCTGGGATATTGTATCTGGGAATATCGGGATGTTGAGGGCCATCATGCACTTTTTAGTTTGTTTACGCACAAGGAGCTAGCCCTTTGTTTCTAGTGGTAAACTTTCCCACAAAACTTGCATTTTTTCGCGTGGATTTGGCAGTGATGTGGACAGAAATACCTATGGCCAAAAAAAGGTTTTTTTCTGTGACCATTTTTTTTCTGCTCTTCTGCGATTGCGTTGAAAAGATTGGAAGAACATAAAATAGAAGCTAAAATTTGCATTGCTAATTACAGTATTGACCTACACAGATCGGCTCGCATCATTTCGAAGATTTTCCGGCACCGATCGATCGGTGTCGAAAAAATAAAAGAAATTGAGAATGGGGTCTTCCTTTTCCGTGTTGTCGGCTAGCCGTGGCACATATTGAAAAATTTTAAAAAGTATTTGATACTCTGAAGGGTGATCACTCAAATTATGTAAAATTTGAGGGTCGGGCGTCTTCGGCACCCTCCCATGAGTAGAAACTGTCGCTGACTTTATGCTGAAAACACAAAAAAACGTAAACCCTATTGTCGTTTTTTTTATTTTTTTCGGCACGGATTGGTGGCGGTAAGCTTCGAAATGCCTGTTTCAAAGTTGGCATGTTTCCAGTCTGTCGGGAAAATAATGTGCAAAATGTCGCTGCGCCGATCGCGTCGCTGAAATGGAAAGAAATTTGATTTGTCGCGACACAATTCATTTCCTCTGTGGTGGTGCAATTTTCGATGCCACATTGATTTCCCATTATTTTTCCGACAGATTTACATTTAGCCTTGGCTGGAAGTGTGTGCCGAATTTTTATTTATTTTTTTTTTTTGGTCTGAGCATTGCACTTCAAAGACTTCCCTTGTTCAACAAGTTGTCGAAACTTCATTAAACTCAAAATGCATGTTTACCGTGAAGTGCTGTATTACAGTTGTGTCTTTGTGTATCTTGCCATTCTTTGAGCTACCTTTGTAGCGTTAAAAGTGATGTTCACTTCCTTTTTTAATTTTTTCAAGTTCTTTTTTTTCAAAATTGCCCAGATACTGTATATTTTGTCCCCATTTTTTTTGTCCCCGCGTCGATTTTGTCCCCACACCGGTTTTGTCCCCAAGCCGGTTGTAGTTGGGCACATTGTGTGCCAATTGTCGTTTACAGTTGATACTACATAGTACAATCAAAAATTATGCATTCAGATGTTAATGCTGTTGGTTTGGTGCCCAGTGCTGCTCAAAAAACATGTTTTTAGCACTTGGTGCTGTATAGTACGTGGTGATACTATATAGCACGAGCTGAAAATTAAACCATAACGCGTTAATTTCGTTGGTTTGAAGCCGAATACCTCTCAAAAAATGCGTTTTTAGCACTGGGTACTATATAACACAAATCATTTTTTTGCGCAAAATGAACTTCAGATCAGTCTGCTGTATTGTTTTTACAGATGAACGTATAAGAGGAGCCAGCCTCCTTAAAAAAAATTGTTTCGCCCTCGTTGTGGTTCGTATGTTATTTTTCGTACTTGTTATACGCGTCAGCAGTTTTTTCTAAAAGCTTTTTATTCGTTTTATTATATTGAAATACACCTGTGCGAAAGATTTTTTCTTCAGTAAATAGACTATGATCATAATACATATTGTATTAGTTCTTTCATAAAGTGCATACACGTTTGTATTTCCCACAGTGCGGTTTGAACTTTGAAATTGACGATATCCATTCTCTCTTTTTTACTTTTTTTTGCTGATCTATAATACATCTTGTCGTATTTTATGTTTTTAGCGCAAAAAACCCCCATTTTGCACGAAGCGTTCCACATTTTTCTTCTTGATTTTTGCACCGTGCAGCGATCCGAAGAGCACTGAAAAATCTGCACAGTGCAAATTGCTTTTTCGAGGTTTGCGCAAAAAAATCAAAATGCACAGTGCGTTAGCGACAAGCGTGGGAAACAATCCAAGATGCACTGTGCGTCAGCGACAAGCTTAGGAAACAATCCAAGATGCACTGTGCGTTAGCGACAAGGGAGGGAAATGCTCAGAATGCACTTTGCATTCGCGACAAGCGTGGGAAAAATGTCAAGATGCACTGTAAGTCCCTCTTTTTGCTCACCTGTCCTTTTGAGCACATGAGGCACGATTCACAATAAACCTACGTGCTGTGTGTGGCAAAACTCGTACAGTTCCACCAGAAACTCCTTTATTGTAGGCCGATTTCAAGTAGTTCTTGGTTAGCTTATAATACATGCCCAGAGATTGGCAAAAACTGCGTTTTTTGTCACGTTGTCTGTACATTTCAGAAATTTGTTTCTTTCATTTGAAGTTTTGCATTTCCCCCAGTGGAAGTACGAAGTATGTAGGTACAATTGCTTGTCCCAATTTTATTTCTTGTATTGTTTTTTAAGGCTTTTGGACGTGAGTTTGTGCAGAATCTTGGCAAAGTTTCTTGTAAATTTAGAGCAATTTTTCGTTAAGAGATTTCCGCGTCCCCTACGGCGCGGATTGCAGAAATGACCGAGATTTTCATACTAAAAGTTGGCCAAAATGGGATACTTTGTAGAGAATTTTGACGTGAACAATTTACTACCTATTTTTATCGTAGAGTGTAATGTTTCTACGTAAAACCATTTTTTACACTCAAAACATTTTGCATAAACTCTGAGCACAAAAACTGTTGGATGCTAGTTGGTTGTTAAAGTCACTCGAGTGATATTTGCGACATCTGTGTAGAAAAAGTCAGGGTGCAAGTGACATCATCAAAAAACTTATTTCACTGTGCAAAAACAAGAGATTGCATAGTGCAAAGACTTTCTTTTTTTACTCTTTTTTCCCACAGTGAATGCCGAGGAAGCCACCCCAACGGCTTTACGAAAGGGCTAGTTGTCGTTGCAGAAAGTGCGTAAACTTTCCGCCGAAAATTTTCCGCCCACTGCATTTGGCCTTTTGCACCGTGCAATTCAAAAGTCGCAGCGACGTAAGCTTTTTTTAACTACGCACGGCAACTCAGAAAGTCTCCCCCCTCGTTCAAAAATAATCACTATGTGTTATACCCCTCGGTGGCGCTTCGCCCACCTAGTATCGGTTGAATTCAAACGAAATGTCAAAAATGAATTTTTCGTGCGGTTTTCCGACCAAAAAGTATTTTCATCGGAATTATTTTATTTCTTTTGTGAATTTTGACACTTTGTTTGGACGAAATTCAAAAGTGGGCGGGAGACATTTTTGTTCTATTTTGGGTTGCTGTGCTACGTAGCCGCGATTTTTGGGCGCGCGACAACAATTGCATGGTGCAAAAAGAAGAAAAATGCACTGTGCGCCGCTAAAAAACTCTGCGCACTTTCTGGAACGACTATTAGTATCGGCGCCAGCTAAAACTAATAATCCAAAATTTCTCTTCTGTAAATACAGAAGAGAAATGGCCCCAAGGTCAAAGGGCAAAAATTAAGCCGAGAAAAAAGCTCCATTGACATTTATCACTCTGTCGGGAAAATAATGAGCACAATGTCGCTTCGTGTCGCTGAAGTGAAAAGCAATTAGGTTTTGCCGCGACACAATTCATTTTCTCGGCGGCGATGCGATTTCCGATGCGATAGAGTGCTCATTATTTTCCCGACGGACTTTCATTTTATTATACTTTAAGAGAGATGCTCGCTTAAATGATTTATGAAAATTGGGATTTTTGAACCCCTTTTCAATTATCCTTTCTCTACATATTGTTTTTCTTCATTCTTAATTACGACTGTCGCTTGTGGTCTGTTGTTTACATCATAATTGTATTTATTTGACTACTCGAGGTTCATGGAACTTCCTTTTCTGTAAAGTTTGTAGGGTCTTACTCGATTACGCCTACTGAGCGTGTGCAAGGTGTGCGGCGAGCGTATTTATAAACAATGTATGTATTATACAGTACATGTACATACATATGAATTATTTTTTTGTTTTTTTTTGTGAAAAACTTTAGTTTTGATGGTCTGAGCATCGCATTATATATATATTTACATATATATTAATGTAGGTAAATATTTTCTGGACATGCAGTATTTTCTGGACTTCCTCTGCTATTTTTACATCATATTTTACCGCGTTGTACATTTTATCTTATAAATCTTCTACCCACTATTTTTACACTATAATCCTCGTTTTCAGCCATGATTTTAACGGAGACGGAGATTATGCTATATGTGATAGAGATGTTGTTGAATGCATTCGGATTCTTTGTCAGTTTTCTGTTCCTATACGTCCTCTGGCAGACAAAGTTGTTTCTTCGGAACCACAAATTCTACTTGTCAAATGTGGTCATCGCAAATATTGTCACCATCGTCTTCAGGTTTGTAATTTTTTAAGTTTTTGTGTAAAATGCATGGACACGTGTTCTATTGTCCTTCCGGAAAGCATGACTGCAATCGGCGACACGCATCATGATAAAAAAATGAAAAGAAAAAAAAGAAAATGAAAGCTTTTTTAAACTTTTTCGCACCGTGCAATTTGTTGATTTTTGCACCGTATAATAGGGTTTTTGCGCTACTTTGACTTTCTTTGATTTCGGGGGCCGGCAACGAGGTTGAAACTTGTTTTTGTTGCAAAAAAATACAGATTTTTATGTACAGGGTGCGGCAATTGTTCGGCCGGATTTGAATTGCCTATAACTTTTTTAGTTTTTATCCGAATGTTAAAATTCTTTTTTTCCCTGAATCCTCAGACAACCCCATTTTGTTTAATACCAAATATGTTATATATACAGGGACCTAGTTCATAGTTATTGGCTTTTCGGTCGTTTTCTCTGCTTTTTCAGCGTGTGCGAAAATCGCCAGAAAAAATGGCTTGTTTTACGAATTTTGTCGTGAAAAGTTTCATGCCTGTTCATGCCATGGATAATACCGTTTCCACAAAAAATCAGCTATCTCCGCACAAAACTAGCGAAGATATAGCCAAAAAGTTTTTCTGTGTGACCACTCATGTGCCCTCCTGACCGCCAAGAATCGTTGAATATCTTGGTCGCCCCTGAAAGGTGCGGGCTGAAACTTTCAGGAATTGATGTGTGGCCTATGTCCGGCCCATGTGCAAAATATAACATATTTGGTATTAAACAAAATGGGGCTGTATATGGATTCAGGAAAAAAAAGAATTTTAACATTTGCCCAAAAACTAAAAAAGTTACGGCCAATTAAAATCCGGCCGAAAAATTGCCGCACCCTGTACAAGGCCAAAAATGTGCAATTTTAGGAGGCTCTTCTGAACTTATTATGCATTACTTAAAAATGCGATAAGTTCAAAATAATTTGTGAAATAGGGCTAGTGCACAGCGAGCTTCTCTTTAACGGAACCCTTCTGCAGAAAACATGTTTCGTTCTGTTGCGATTTTGTTGCACAGAAAGTGGACTCTATTTTTCCAGGTACCCCCAGCTGATCCAGCTGCTCTCCGAAAAGAAGTTGTATTCGGACGAGACCAACGCCAGAATCGTTCAAGTCCACGACATGGCGGACAGTGTTGCGGTCAACATGATTGTTCAGCTGATCATTTTTGGCGATGTGACGGCAGTTGTTATGGGCAAAGACGAGATGAGTCTGCTCTGGGTGATATTGCTTTGTTGTTTATCGGTAGGTCATTGTTATTTGGTGTGTCGGAAAAATAATGAGCATTCTGTCGCAGCGAAAATCGTATCGTTGACGAAAAAAATGAATTGTGTCGCAAAAAGATCAAATTGCTTTTCACTTCAGCGACGAGATTGGCGCAGCGACAATGTGCTTATTGATTATAAAATACGAGGAAAAAATTTTTTTTGAAAGTGCAAACACCCCGTCAAGTTAATTTTCTGTACGAATTAAGTCTGGTCCCTAGAACAGCTGAACTTCACATCTCCTTCATTCATTTTCCATATAATGCAACAGAATATTTGAGTACAAAAGTGCATAGATTTATTTTTAATAGATCACATGACACTTCAAAAGTCGGAAATTGACGTAAAAACGAAAGTGTTGAACCTTCATTGTGTAGATGTGTTGTATTATACATATGAATTATTTTTTAGAGGCTACAGGTTACAAGATATATTACATAATATAAAAAACATAGTTGTGAGGCTTCGGTTTTGCTCATTTTTGGACGTTTAGCACTGAGAGTCAGAGTTGATTCAAAATTTGGAACTACCAGGAAAAAACTTGACCCAAAATTTGGAACTTCGGTTTTCCAGGGGAAGACTTTACCCACAATTTATAAATTCGGTTTTGGAGGGGAAGACATGACCCAAAAATATGAATTTTGATTTGAGAAAGCAAGACTTGACCAAAACTAGGAATCTCAATTCTTTAGGAAAAAACTTGACTCAGGTTGCAGATATTTTGGATTTGTGTCTTTTCTCACACCATTCTTTGATGTTTTTCTGTAAATTTTGAAGCTTTCTTACGACAATTTTTTAAGCGAAGACTTGACCCAAAATCGGTTACTGTTTATGCCACTATCAAATAAGCTTTCAAAATGAGTTCCATGGAAGGGCTTTCTATTAATTTTAAAATACGACGAAAACACATCAAAAAAACGTAGCTAACAACAAACTTTCTGGTACATATTTAAATTTTTGCTTTTCAGTGGGTCCTCGGAGAACTTAACATCCAATTGGGTGCTATGAACATACCTCCTCCATTATATTCGCAGGCTCTTATGGAGTGCGTAAATATTATTTGTTGGATCGCATTCTTTGGTCTGATCTACATGGGCAAGGTGAAATATCGTCAGCAAACCGTTGGAGATATCAAACACAAGTACAGAGTGAGTTTTTACCCGATTTGGCTCATGAGAGGAAGACTTGACGCTTTGGGTCAAGTGTTTGCCTGAAGTGTCAAGTCTTTCTCTGGATGATTTTAATAAAAAAAACTGTGATTTCTATGCTTTCAGATAAGTATTTGTCTTCGAACATTGGCCGTGTTGAAGGTTATGGCCATCTGCAGTGCAATACGAAACTTTATTTGCATCAATGTCATCATCTCGTTGTTTGTCTGGATACGACCAAAGTAAGTTTTTTTTTGGTTGCTGAAGAAATCATCTTCGAAGAATGTTTTTAAAATACGGCTGGGCCAGTTCTAAGCAGACATACTTTTTGTAGCAAAGACGTTGACGGTGAGCGCTTCGTCTCCTTCTTCTACGACCTCACACTGGCCTTTTACGCCGCAATTGTGCCATTCCTGATGATCTGGAGCCATGATGAGATGCAGAAAACCTATGGGTGAGAGTTTTTCCAATCACATCACCCTTTGCCTTCTCTCAACTGTCTCATTCTCTCGACCCAAAAATTCAGGTTTTTCAGCAGACTCTGCGCCAACAAATTCGAATCGCCCATAACGAAGGTGAGCGTCACCACCACCAACAATGAGGTCAAGTTCATTGCGAAGAATGTGGTTGGTGACGTCATCACGGCCAATCCGCAGGACGAAGCCAAACATCATTTCCAACAACTGCAGAACAATTGGAATACACGGAGATTGTCTGTTCAGCATGTACCGCAGAAAAGTCAAAGGAATATCACATGGAGCAAGGGGGACTCCTTGCACTAACTACACCCCTTCTAATTCGATTCGCATAAGACAAGACCCCAAAACGGCCTGTAAAAAAAGTCTCCGCCGGGCCTTCGCCAATGTGTGAAACGTCCGCCAAGCGACCAACACTTACAGATTACATTGTACCAAACGTCACAAGCCTAATTTCATCCGTACTTAAGATACAGTAGGGAACTGATCCAGTGGCAAAAAACATACCATTTGGTATCCGGGAAGTATCAAAAACGTGGCAAAATACCTCCCTCTTCAAGTGAAAATACACCGATTTCAAAAGCGCTCTTCAAACCAAAGTTTTTTTTGTTGAAGAGGGAGGTATTTTGCTACATATTTGATACCTTCCGGATGCAAAATGGTACGTTGTTTGCCACTGGATCAGGCCCCCTACTGTAACAGGAATTTGTAATGAGATTTTGTTTTAAAAAAAGACGTCAAATGTCTCCGCCAAAAAACGGTTTCCACGCCGACACGAGAAAAAACTTTTTTTCATATTCTAACATCGCCCGATTTCGAATTCCAAAATCAATTTAAATTTTGTGGATATGTGCGAAGACCCTACAGATATTCTCAAAAACTTTCAGCAGTATTGCTTTAAACGCCCGGCATTTATGTCCTCTGGCCCTGCCACAAAGGTTTCAACTGTTCTCGGTTGTTATCTGATGTATAGTATAATATATGTACATAAAATGATCTTGCCATGAAACATTTCTTCTGTCTGTTATCTGTCTTGCAAGCCGAAGAAATCATTGTTATGAATTTATTGCAATAAACGCTACATTAAGACACCTTTTTTTCACTCGGATCTTACATTCCCCGCCAAGAATGAGTCCCCTTGACCATGGAGAGTCCAATTCTATTTCCATCGTAATCATGATGACTACAGACGGCTCGGAGGAATGCTTGTCCCATCACCGTCTTCGAGCCCTCCATAATTGTCAGCTCACAGTTTTCGCCGTTACTTTTCTTAATAAACACGTGGCTAGGGATGTCCAAAGCCTTGCCGTTTATGGCTACAGTAAGATTGAACGAGTTGTGACATGGAATGGTGTAGGTTGTTGGTCCTTTTGACGTGTTTTTGGTGATGTTCGCGGCTTTTAGAAGAGATTTGAAGGCCTTTGGATGTAATTGGGTGTAGGAATGACCAGAGTCGGTAATCGCCTGAAAATATTATGATATGTGACGCCCACATAGAGAAAGTAAAAGATTTGGGGTCTAAATATGCAAAAAAGTATTTTTAGCGGATTATGTCATCAAAGGCAGGCTTGGAGAAAGCCCAGTTAGTAGAAATAATAAGGTTGATCAAGTCCTAGGATAGCTTATCACCTATTCTGAGGTATTTTTCATGTACTAAAGTTACGGATCGGATCTTTGTTTAAGTTTTTTGGCCTTTAAATCTTTTAATGTAGTTTACAGTAACCAGAGATTGCCACGGCTCCGGAGCCGGCTCTTGGAGGAGCGGCTCCGGCTCCGAGCCGGGAGCCAGAGCCGGGGCCGGAAATTTTGGGGTCGGCTCCGGCTCCCGAGCCCAAAGTCGGAGCCAGGCTTCCCAGCGGTCAGAAAAGTAAAAATTTCGTGATCTTGTTAAACCAAAATTCTTGAGAAACACTGCGGAGGATGTGACTTGACTGCAAAAACGTTGGCTGTATGATCTCTGGCACTAATAACTTTTATTTTTGGAAAAATATTTTTAAAAAACGTTTTGCGTAGGAGCCGGGATTCGGAGCCGGAGGCCTTTTTAAATTTTGCACGGAGCCAAGAGCCGGAGCCGGAGCTTCAAATTTGGCCTCGGCTCCGGCTCTGGGAGCTAAGAGCCGGAGCCGGAGCCAAAATTTTGACCGTGGCAATCTCTGACAGTAACTCAGGGCAATGAAGCCTAATGTTACAAATAGAAAAAATTAGAAAAAAAAACGGATACATTGCAAGCCTTCACCAGACATTCGCCGAGCGTCCAGCGGTTTTGCCAGGCCTCGTAGGCACTTCCGGATATATTGCAAGCCTTCGCCAAGTCTCCACCAACCCCTCGTCGACCATCCAACAGCTTTGCCAGGCCTCGTAGGCACTTCCCACAACCCTTTATTGGGTATTCACAAGCCCTACGCCCCAAAAAATCTACGATGCAGATTTACAGCCCACCTCAAAATCTCTTTCCAGCACCTCCTCTCCAACCTTCATCTCCTCCACTTTGAAAGTCCAATGTTTCTCACTCAAATTCTCAGCCCAAATGACGTCATTTTCACAATTATTCGTGTCGATTCCTCCGAATTTTATAACTCCGCCGATGCTGCAGTAATTACTCTGACAACTCCGCAAATGAATCGAGAAAACCGACTCGGGTAAATGGCGTTTCAGTTCGTCAAAAAAGTAGGAATAACTGGCGGGACTCCGTTTGGGCGCTAGCCCCAACATACCGTAGTCCAGGTTGTAGATTTTCTGCATTGAGCCAAAGTAAAAGTCTCGGAGGTCATGAAGATCGGAGTCTGATCCGACCTACAAAAATTTTATTATATGTTGAAAGCAGTGTGTGTAAATAGAAGTCATTTTACAAAGGGAAGTGCCTTAAGAACGACGCTCGATTTTTTAAAAATCTTGCACACACTACGGAAATAAGCAACATAATAATTCCTACGAGCTTTTAGCCTGCGCTTTGCAGGCGAATCCGAGATATTCAACAATCTTTGCAGCCGAGACAGTACGCGAAATGCGGAGAGCGGTCACAAGAAAAAAACTTTCTTGTCCATATTTTGGCCAGTTTTGCTCGGAAAAAAATTGATTTTTTGTGGAAATATTACCCTCTACGACAGAAATAGGCAAAAAAGTTTTCATGGCAAAACTCGCAAAAAAGTGTCAAAATTTTTTTTTTCATTATTTTTTTAAAAATTTTTTAACAAAAATCTCAGTAGCCTCTGCAAGGTGTATATTATTATATTTAGGATTGCTACATGTTCTAGTCAAAAAAAACATTCCAAATTTGTGCCAAGCCTCGTCAAAATTTGCATATTCGCATTTTCATTAAGTGCATCGACAGCTTGTCGCACCCGCACCGTGCACAAAAACTTTCTTCTTGTACCGTGCATTTCAATTCTTGGTTTGTCTTCGCACAGTGCACTTTTTCCAACTCCGTCGCCAGAAAATTCTGCACAGTGCAAACGGCCACTTTTTGAGGATTGCACTGTGCGAAAAGAGAACTTGCCGCCAACTTTGTGCGTTCGTGACAAGTGTGGGAAAACGTTCAAAATGCACTGTGCGAAGAGAAAAATGTCTACGAACATTATAAAGATATAATACTAATATCATCATTCACTCACCCACAACGTGTCCCTTCGCATATCGCCGTTTGCTTTTCCAGTGGAATACGACACATTCAGCCCATGTTTCATCACCAACACCGAAGTCTTTGATTTCTCCGGTGAGTAAGTCTTCTCCTTGTATTTACAGGCGATATGCGGCTTCCCACTGCTTCTGCAGCCGTGCTCGGGGACCCAGACAACACTTGAACCGGTGTCGAAAATCAGTTGCACTGATTGCGGAGGAGTTCCGACTTGGATTTTACCAATGTAACGGACATTGTAGTTGTTTTGAAGAAGCGATGAAAATGCATTTTGACCGCTTTCTGAGCCTGTAACATTGATTTTTTTTTTTTTGATTTTACGGGATATCTGTCGTTTGCACAGCGGTTTTGGCGGTTTTTGACAGCATTTTGATGACTTTAGATATTAAAAAATAGTGTTCTAGATATAAAAAAGGATTTTTTGTAGATTTCCCACCAAAAAGGAGTGATGTGTCTGAATGGCGCAGTCGGTATGATGGTGGACCTTTGACTCAAAATGTCGCGGGTTCGAATCCACCTTTCTGCAAATGTTTTTTTAGAAGGTAAAATACGGTTCTGTTAAGTAAGGCTGGTTTGGAATTTCTATTTCAGTCTTCTGAATTTTGCCTACTCTAACAAAATAGTTGATCTTGTCTAAAAATAAAAAAAATTTCAAGAATTTTGATATTTGAAAAAATGAAATCTAGTTTTTACGATCCGTATTTTAAACCCCACATAGCATTTTGCACCTATTTTTCTTCCAAAAACCAACATGTGTCCGAATAGCGTAATCGGTAATGCATTGGACTTCCACTCAGCACATCGCAAGCTCGAATCCACCTTCACGCAAAATTTTTCCCCCTTTTCCTATTCATTTCAAAGACCTCAAGCTGCTTTAAAATGAATTCCCCACCCTCCGCAGTTCATCACGAGCTCAGCGGAGCATGCGTAAACAGGTAAACTTACCCCTCTTGGGTCTCAATTTCCGGCTCACGGCCTGTAATTCCACCTCAAAGGCGGCTGATTGCGAAATGAACGCGAAAACAACCAGTTGCGTAATCCACATGGCCAAGAGGACGACTAGACAACAAAGACTTTTGAGGAAATATTTTTTTTAATTTCAAAAATTCGAAGACCAAAGCTGAAGGAAGTGACCGTAACAGCAGAAAATTTGTTTCTAATCTTATGCATTCTGCTGATAAAGCCGCATTATCAAATTTAACAACCAGATTGATTGACAGAGTGGCCTGAAACCGACGTTTTGCACAAAATTTTGCCGATTTTTGTGATTTTTAAGCTTTATTCGGGAAAAAATGGTACTTTAGAGATTGCGACAACACAAAATCTCGAAAAGAAGAGCTTACAATGTAGGAAGAGCACGTTACAAGCAGTATTATTAAGGTTAATAAGGCTTCAGATCGATTCGAAAATTGTGGACGGGGAAAAACTGGAAATTTTATAAAAACGATGATTTAGATATAAAATACTGTAAATTTTAGGCGAAATTTTTTTCATGACAATGAGACATGGTCTAAAATTACAGTATAAAAAAGAAAATTCAAAATTTACAGAGCACTGTTGAAGTTACAGTAAGATTTTAGGTTTGGCTAAAGGTGAATATAAATGGTTTAGTTAGCCATCTCGCCGTTCAGGATCTTCACGTCGAACAAGAAGAGGACGAACTCGACGAAAACCAAGACGGTGGAGGCCACCAGCCAGCCACGCTGGTTGTTGTGGTCGATGATGAACCAGATCAACAGACCGCCCGCCACCAGGAAGAGCACGGTGCAAATGGTGGAGTAGAGGCGCTCCTGAAATGTTTAGGAGGTAAAAAAATCAATTTAAAATCTTGATTTTTTATTGACGATAAGTCTTGAACAGAAAAAAAGCTTTTCTGAAGAAGCGTGGAGTCGAACCTGCGACCTTTCAAGTCTGAGTCAAACGCTCTACCAACTGCGCTATTCAGACACATCTTGTATTTTTTGCCAAAAATTGAAATTTTGAGCACTGCCGAGTTTCACAGTAATAAAATTTTGCTATAAACAGTTTTTTTAAATAAATTTAAATTGATTTCTTTTTGGGATGTCCGCTAGACCAAAAAAAATTTTTTTTTGCGATAACTTTTTGACTTCTTCTGGGAAAAGCACGATTTTTTGTGAAAACATTTTTTACTTTATCAGTACTACAGTGCAAAATTTTCAAGCTCAATTCCTCAAAGAAAGTTGATTTTTTGAAATTTAAAAATTTCCCTTACCAATTTGTAAGCGGCCAAGTTGAGGAAGTTCAGGATGAACAGCACAATGTTGATGACCACGACGACAAAGTTGAGGCCACTGGCGAAGCCGAGACGGCCCTCGCCGAAGCAGCTCTTGCCTCCGTACCAGTTGGCGCACAGCAAAGAGCAGATGATAAAACCGATGATGATCTGCAGAATCTTGATGATTCCTCGGTTGGTGGTCAAGTAGCCAGAGTTCAGGGTAGCCATTTCGCTAGAGTGAGAGTTGCTTGTCGAGCTGGGAGAAAAAAAATTTCTGAAAGAATTGCTTTCTTTGTCGGAAAAATGGGATTTTTTGGGATAAATGGAAAAAAATCGCGAAAAATCGCGAAAAATTGGGAAAAATTGGGAAAATTGTGAAAAAAGGCTTAAAAAAGGTGATGAAATTGGATTGTACTATTTTTTAGAGTCTTTAAATTAATATGCCACAATCTTACCCCATCAAAAAATTTTCTAAATAGTAAAAAAATTAAATTTTTTGAGTAAGCCCTCAAAAACGCGCATTTTTTAAATTTTTTAATTAAAAAAAGCAATTTGACGGGTGAATTCCTGGCTTTCCAGAGTTTCTATTCTTTGCCCTTAGGGCTTATTCACAAATTTTTAATCTAATTTTGCAAAAAAAACCCGAAAAAATATTCAAAATATTTTTTTTTTCAAAATTTTTGCCCAAAAAAAATATAAAACTAATTTTTTCACTCAAAAAATCCCAAAAACGATTTTTTTCTATTTCCAAAACTCTCGAAAACAATGTTTCGTCGAGAAAAAATGGGAAAAACAAAAAATAAAAACAGAATTGTGCGTCTTTCCGGCCTTCCGTTTCGCCGGATCAAGGTGAAAATGAAAGAGATTCGGCGCTCAAGGTCAAGTAAAAAACGTAAAAAAAAGAAAAATCGAGGGTCCTACAGCAACAACAACAACATGTGACGGCCTCCAAGTGGGCTCATTAATCACAATTTATTTATTTTTGCGGACGAGAGGAATGGCTACGAACATAGGTTGGGAGAGGTGGGAGAGTCAAGTCAGTGGTGGGCGGAGCGAAAGTCTTGGGCGAGAAATATGAGTTTTTGATGAGAAAGAAGAGAGAAAACGATAAAATACGAGGAATAAAAGATCGGATGAAAGGAAAATTCCAAAATTGGGAGCAAAGGGTTGATTTTTGTAAAAAAATCTCACAGGGAAAGTACTCCAAGTGCGACGCTCAGATTTTGATGAAACTTGGCACAAATTTACAACAATTTTTTCTAAGATATATGCGAGAAGCCTAGTTCGCGCTTTGCAGAAACAACCGAGATTTTTAGATCGAAAATCGGCCAAAATTTAGGACTTTTTGCCGAATTTTGGCATGAAAAGTTTCGCGCCTATTTCTACCGTAAAGGATAATGTTTCTACAAAAAATCAAATTTTTCCGCACGAAACTGCCAAAGTTATGGCCAAAAAGCGCTTTTTTCTGTGACCGCTCTCCACGTTTAGCGTGCTCTCTCGGCGGCAAAAATCGTTCGATATCTCGGCGGCGCTCGCAAAGCGCGAACTAAAACTTTCAGGAATTGATATTTAGTCCATACCCGATGTGTATGCAAAATTCAAAGAAAATCTGAGCGTCGCCCTTGGAGTACTTCCCCTGTGAGTTGTTTTTGCCAAACGCGAGCTGATGATTTTGCAGATGCTTTTTAGGGAAGGGGGCTCAAGTGCAAGGTTCAGATTTTAATGAAGCTTGGTGACAAATTTATAATAACTTTTTTAGGGCGCATGGGAGACTCCGAGTTCAATTTTTGCAGAAACGGCGGAGATTTTTTCGCCGAAAGTTTGATTTTTTTTGGCAATTTTTTCGAATTTTGGCATCAAAAGTTTCATACCGTTTTCTAGAATAGAAGGTGATCTTTCCACACAAAAATTAATTTTTTGGCACGAGGCTTCTAAAGAAAGCCAAAAAGTCTTTTTATTTATGACAGCCCTGCGCGTTTTGCCTACACTCTCTGCCGCAAAGATCTTTGAATATCTCAGCTGCCCCTGGAAATCGCAGACCAAGATTTTCGGGATTGATATGTGGCCTACTCTCCAAATGTGTGCAAAAATTAGAGAGAAATCGAGCGTCGCACCTGGAGCACTTCCCTTGTAAACATCAAGCCCTAGAATTGAAGCGTCTACACTTGGCTTTCCTCAGAAGCCTACATAGTCTTTTTGGCAACGCAAAATAATGACTTTACAGGCCGACAATAACCTAATGCTCTCCAAAAATCCTTGTCAACGTCATTCTCGTCACTTTTCTCTGCCATAAGCTCAAATCACCACTCCGAACCTTCGAAAATCACCCGCTGAACCGAGGGCCCCAACCCACGTTTCGCTCGGCCAGCGGATCCGGCCGAACGAAGCGAGCGGCCCCGCAAAATGGCCCGAAACATTCGAGGAGAGGAGAAGGGGGGAGATTTGTTGTTTACGACCGTCATGTGGACGAGGGGCGGGCCTTCCTCGTGTATTTCGGGGATATTTTTGGCAATTAAATCAATCTCGATGGCACTGCCAACACATGGCCAAACGACTTTTGGCAAGAATCGAGAAGGGAGGGGTGACGTGATTGGCAAAGGTTTTAGAGGGGTTTGAAAAGGGATTTGAAAAGTGAATGGCGTTGACGAGGTTGAAAAAAGTTGAGTGAGTCATGATGAACATAAAAATAAGCGAAAAAATAATTCTTTGTGGTAAGAAAAACTAATGTAAAAGTAGATCTTCCGAGAAAAATGCTATCAAAAATTTCGTATACTCTTCCAAATCTGTCCTTTTTGCAAAACACGAGCTTGGAGAGTCGTAAATGTTCAAAAAAGGAGGGCCCATACTTTCGGGCAACCACTTTTGCGGCAGCAAAGTGGAAGAGCCACGGAGATTTTGCGGGCAGGCTTGGATATCAGCCAACTTTTGCTTACAATAGAAAATTATAGCGATGAATTCGGCAGCTATCAGTCTGTCGGGAAAATAACGGCGGATCGTCGCGCCTCGGAATCGCCCATCGATTTCATGTCGCATCTGGGAATTTGGTGCGCGGTAGCGGCGAGGCGAGACAGTTTGATGCGACGATCCGCCGTTATTTTCCCGACAGACTGATAGATGTTGCAGACTAAGTTTTCTGGTGTATAAGTGGCTTGAAGAGTTGCCATAAGCTTAGACAAGCATTTTTAAAGATTCAGAAGACATCTTTTTGAAGAAAAACTTCCATAACTTTGAAAGCGGCGGATGAATTCAATAAGTTTGTGTGTACTTATCAGTAAGGCGGAATTGCCAATGCAAAACTTCTATGATACTGCGTAGATCACAGCAGAGAAATCGTAATTCTAATCGGTAAACGTCGGCTGCCTGTGTTGGACAAGTGCTCCCTGAGATGCGAAAAGCTTCATAAATTGAAAAAGCGGTATCCAAAAATTTCAAAAGAAGCGTTTTGATTTATGGTTTATCTTTTCCCCCAAAAACAGCCCTTCAATTAGCGCTTTTTCAAACCGAAAAATAGAAAATATGTATTATACTATCACCCTGTCGGGAAAATAATGTGGATTTATCGCGCCTTTTAATCGGCCATTATCAGCTTGCGACGCCTAGCCGCGGCTGGAGACTTGGTGTGGAACTGCAACAAGACATTTTTCTACGCCAAATCCACATTATTTTCCCGACTCATATATTAGTATACCTCAAAGTCGAATCTTTGGGACAATAGCTTCTGTTTTACAAAACTTGTTTATAATAAACAATTTTCAGATACAAAAAAGTGAATTTTAGACCAAAATGATTACTTAGGTGTACATCAGTCTGTCGGTTAAATAATGAGCACTCTGTCGCAACGAAAATTGCATCACCGCCGAGAAAATGAATTGTCTCGCGGCAAAATCAAATTTCTTTTCACTTCAGCGACACGATAAGCGCTGCGACAGTTGCTCATTATTTTCCCGACAGACTATATAATCCTCCCCAATCTATGATTTACCCTTCGTTTGATCTTTTTACCCATCGTTTTTTGAGGACTCTCGAACGCCCCACTTCAGTAATCAGCCGAATCTCGCGGGAATATCGAAATAAAGCCGCTCAGCGCGGCTTACAGTCAGTCGGATTAACCGCGTGAAAGCGAGCAAATGCGAACGGCTAATGCGTGGCTGGCTGATGTGTTGTGAAGAGTGAGGAAATGTGTTTATAAACATATTTTTCGCAGTGTGCTCGTGCTCACTTTATATGGCCACATGGACTTTGAGACGTTAGGCCGGAAATTATTTGGAGCGCCTGTTTTTGGAAATTTTGGGGTAAAAATAGAAGTTGAAAAAAAAATTTCGAAAAGTTCAAAAGATATTTTTTTAAATTTTTCTGTCGGGAAAATAATGAGCACTCTGGCGCAAAGAAAATCGCATCGCCGAAGAGGAAATAAATTGTGTCGCGACAAAATCAAATTGCATTTCACTTCAGCGACACGATCGGAGCAGCAACATTGTACTCATTGTTTTCCCGACAGACTCATAATTTATAGTCCGGGAAGTGGCTGATGCGATTTCTGAGGCATGCACTGTAAGAAAACAAAAGTTCACTCCGCACTGTGCAATTTTTTGTTTTTTGCACCGTGCAATAGGTTTTTTGGCTGCATAGAGAAAGATTGTGCTCATTATTTTCTAGACGGACTGATAAAAAAATTAAAGTGAAGAAAATTGAGAGCTTTGATGAGCAAAAAAAATTTTTTTAGACTGAAAAAAGAAAGAAATTGAATTTTTTTAAAAAAAAAAATTTTGTCGATAAAACAGTAAAATTTTTAAAAAATCGAAAATAGACTGTTTTTCGTATAAAATTTTAAAAACATTATACTTATAAAAAATACCAAAAAAGTTTCTAACATAAAACAAAAAACCGTCATCAAATAAAGAAAACATTGAAAAAAATTTTAGAAATATTTTCTAGAGTTAGTCACCATCAATCAAAAAAATATTATCGAAAAACAGACCATGTTTCCTCAAAACAATTTCAAAAATTTTTTGATTATTTACACAACATATTTTAGTCGCAAAATTAATCATCAGATAAAAAATCCTTACCCAAAAAAAATTCAGGCCCCAAAAACATTTGACAAATTTCAAAACTCAAACGTTATTCACCCTCCACTTTTTACATCTACTCCCCAAGTGTTTATCTCGCCGTATTTTCAATTTTTGGTTTTCTATAATATTTTGAGCAAACGAAAAGTTCTGTTGTTT